CTATTCCCAGTTCTTCCAGTCTTTCCTCACAGGGCTTGGTCTCAAGGCTCCCGATCATCCTTGTTTACCCTTCTCCAAAACTGTTCCAGTTCATCCCTCTTAAAGTGCAGTGTCCAGAACTGGGCACAGTACTGAAGAAGAGGGACTAACCAGTGCTGAATAGAGAGGAACTAGTACTTTACATGATTTGGAAACACTACTTCTGTTTGTGCAGCCTGAAATAGCATCCCCCCCCTTTTTGCAATCCAAGATTCTCCTTGCATGTAGTATTAGTGTCCAAGTATCCCCCATCTTCCAACTGTGCATTTGGTTTATTTTTCCTGGGTGTAGAACTTTGCACTTATTCCTGTTAAATTTCATTCTGTTCTTTTGAGTCCAGTGTTCAAGCCTATAAAGATCTCTTTAAATTCTGTTTCCATCTTCCAAGATATTAGCTATTGCATCCAATTTTGTGTGACATGCAAATCAATTATTATCATCTCAGTCATTAATAAAAATGCTGAAGAGCCCTGGGCTCAGGACTGAGCCTTGTGATAATCTGCTTGTTACCCCCTCCTACTTTGAGAAAGAACCATTGATAAACACTCTATGATGCTGTAACCAATTGTTGTTCTATCCTACCCACACTCAATCATAATATCATGGGACATTTTGTCAAAGGTTTTGCTGGCCAAGATATATTATGTCTGCAGCATTCCCACCATCTATGAGAAAGGTTACCTGATAAAAAACGGAGATGAATCTGGCAGGATTTGTTCTTGACAAATTTATATTGACTTCAAGTTATCAGTGCATTGTTTTCAAGATGCTGACAAATTGACTGCTACATTAAAATATATCAATTAGTCTTTAAGGTGCCACAGTATTTCTGTCTTTTGTTTGTGTGTGGTGTGTGTGTGTGTTTATTTTGTTTTTATTTTGTTTTTTGTCTGATGTCCTTGGATAGACTGACACAGGTATTTCTTTGAAAACTATTTCATGGTTGTTGCTGTCACATGCTGTGAAATAGAACAGGAGTGATTAATCTTTCCCAGCCCTCAGCTTCCATGACTAAGCAAAGATAAGAACTTATGTCACCTGAATCCTAGTCTAACATTCTGTTCACTACAGCACACTGGCTTGTCAGCCTGGGCTTTTCTGGATTTCTTGAGATCTTTAGAACTGGTGCATTTTACAATATGCTGCTGAAGCTTGTATTGGGCTTGCTAGGTGTTATTCAGTTTTATAGGGGTCTGGTTGTTATTATAGTGCTTTTAATTAAGTGCTTAGTATTAAGTCTCTGTGCCTAGTAATCACATAAAATGAATTACTGTACTGCCAGAAGCAAGCTGGCTTACTTGAGTGTAAAATTGTTCATATGAGCACTCCACTTAGCAGTTGATTAGGGATGTGAAGAATATTCATGCTAATTGAGAGAGTCTTTCTTGCTGCATTGAGACGGACTGTTGAGAACCTGGTCATCTCTGGGAAATTTCTCATGCCCAGCATGAGAACAAGATGAGCAGATTTTGGAGTGTGTGTGTCAAGGTTTCTGTGATTTGCGCAAAATGTATGTGAGCAAAACTATTATATTTTCCATTTCTGAGCTGAAACACACACATGCCTACACACAGCACAGAATAGACTCATTGATTAAGACAATGCAGATACCCCAACCAATGCCTCAATTTGTTGAAAGTCCAGCCAATAAGGCAGCATTTTTAATAATTTTGCGTATTTACAAAATTTGGACAAAAATTGTTCTTACAAATGTAGAGCTTCTTGTTGAAAGCACCAATAAATGTCTTGCTGTTTAGCACACAAGTGTTTTCTTGTTCTTATGCTCAAGAATGTGAGGGATTTTGCTCTTGTAATGGATCCACACAAGATCATGCTTCCACTTGTGTAGGGAAAAAAATATCACAAATCGTTTTTCAAAAGAGAGGCAGTACTCTTGCTCTTAGCTCATAGTGCCACCATTATACTGTTCTTTAAACTTCCCTTGGCCCAGTATTGTTAGCTCCTCCAAGGTAGAGCTGTGTTAGTCTGTTGTCGCAAAAACAGCAAAGTTCCTTAAAGGCTAACAAGTTTTATATGCCATTAGCTTTCATGGGTTGTAGCTTATTTTTCTTTTCAGATGCATGACATGTAGCCTCAGCAGCCAAACATCTATACATTTGTGGGGAAGGTGGGACCATGAAACGTAATGAAAATGTAAAATGTTTGGCAAGGTAATAGTCTTCTAAGAGTTGTGGACTGCCCAGGCAGTTGTTATACCATACAAGAGTTGGATAGTAAAGCACACAAACCTGAATGGATAAGTTTCTTAATGTATTTAATGAGATAAAAAGCCCTGTCCTTCCTTGTTTTAGCAAAGATAGACCGATCTGAGCCTCTGGACAAATATTAGGTGTACATTTTTCCCTTTGGAATTTCTCTTTTAAATTGTTTTACTCAAGGATGAAGTTAGAAGGAAAGTGTCTAAGAAAAATAAGATGTTTCCTCTTCAGGTTTCTGACTATTCCTGATTCTGATACCACATCCATCTCCATTTATTTTTTCTGAAGCCAAGCCCATTTGGGTTCTCAGGTTTTCCCTTTTCTTGCACATTCTCTATTTGACTAACTCTGGATTCCTGCTTATATTCTTTCTGTTCCTTTCCCCATCTTCTGCTCCTGTTGTATTTCAGATGATGAGTCCTTGATTCCTCCCAACCTCCGCGTGAGGCAATTTTCAAAGATGACCTAAAAGCCTTTGCAATATCTTACCACTAGAGGGTGGACACGACTCGCTAAATGTTCTTCTGATCCATGCTCATTTTTCCTTTTCCTTTTCAGATGAAGGAACTCCTCAAAGGCAGAGAGTCCTTTATTTAGCACGTTCTTTCATTTACATCTGGCTTACTTTGTGTAAAGCGTTAAAATTTTGTGCGTGTGTGTGTGTGTGCGTGTTTTTGAATGGCAAAAAAAAAAAAACCACACACACCACAACTCCAGCCACCATCAGTGCGAGTAACATCTTCAGTATGGATAGAATATTGTTGAAAGAAAAGAAAATAAGTCAAAATATTGCACCACTTTAAAGACTGTCTGTCTTATTTCATTGTGAACGTAAATATTGTTCTTTAAAATGCTACAATATTTAACCTTTTTTTCTTTTCGTTTACCAACGTGCAGTGACAGGCTAACACAGCTACTTTGTTGGTTATTGAGAGAAAATATTCAGATTCTGCTGAGTGGTGGCAGTGTAATGGTGGGAGCAACTCCAGAATCTCTCTTCCTCTGGTTATTCTCCTCAGCTGAAGTATCTCTAGAGACCGTCGTCCTTGATTGTTCTGCCACTTGCTGCCTCTTCCTGTAGCCTCCACCCCACTTCTGCTCCCCTCAAAATGCATGGACATATTTCGTCCCATTCCAAATCCACTTTTGGATTTCTTTTGTTTTTAAATATTAAAAGGTGTGGCCATTTGAGTAACTGCAGTATTAAAGATCAGTCCCGCCCACCTATCCCAATGGTGCCCTACTGTGCTCGTATACTTAATTCCATCATGAAGCCTAAGTATCAGGAAAGAGCATCACTTAGAAAGGCCAGCTGGGTCTGGAAAGGGACAATCAATGCTTGAATTATTGGAATGGGAAAGGGGGGGAGTAAAATGGTTGTTATCATGGTACTCTTGTACAAATTTGTGGTGTAGCCACTTCTACACTTTTTGGCATAACTGCTATGGCATTATCTTCTGGGAGGACAGATCCCCCACACACTTGAGCCCTTCCATGGGCTAGATGATGTCAGGAGTGTGATCATGGACTTTACCTTAGGGGTATGGAAACAACCCTTCCATCACTGGTTTTCTGGCTAAAGTATGGCTTGGGCTGCCCCGTCCAGCACTTTGGATCTAGCTTTCCTTCTCTTCCCTCTTCCCTGCAAGCAAAATGGGAAAGAATGAGATTAAGTGGGCAAAATAACAGAGATGGGGTGAGCAAGCTTGGGACCATTTTCCAATCCCAGGTTCTTCTCCAGGTGGAGGTAAAACCAAGGTTTGGAACAACAACAAAAAACAAAAACCCAACCCATCTGATTTTCATTGTTGACATTGGTAGTAGTAGTAGTGCTGCTGTTTCTAAAAGAAAGACACGAGTTCCCCACCTTGGTTTACAGAGAAATTATGCCCTGTGAAGTTGCAGTTCTCTCATTGGTTTGTTAAAAAAAAAAAGATGGGGCAGAGCAACAGTCTTGAGGGCTGGATGCAGTTCATGGATCACATGAGTCTCACTCCTTCAATGGAAATGTATAACGATATGCATGCTTTGGAGGAAGTGCATTGTAACATATTCCACACACCCCTTGGTGCTTCTAGACCTCTGTCATCCATTGATAGACCAAAGGAAGTTCATTTTGCAGAATGCATACCTGTATGGAAGTTGCTACCATAGTTTACATGCATACCTTTAAAAAGATGTTCAAATGAATTCAAAGGATGTGTCCACCAATGACCATTGGTTACAAGGGCTATATCAGTACTTTTCTGCCTGTAAGTCAGTGTGTGCTTCCCTCCACCTCCTCCAGCAGCTACCCACTCAGATGAGGAGGTGGGGCAGGGAAACACTCAGCACTGCCTTTGAGTGTATTCCTGCCTGGTCATGGGGCCATATGAAATTATGACAGTCATATAGTCTCATTCTTATGTCCAAGGAAGTGGATTTGATCCATGAAAGTTCACATTAAAATACAGCAGTTAGTCTTTAAGGCACAACAACATTTTTGTCTCTTATTTTTTTGTTTTGTTTTGTTTCTGTTGTGGTTTTTTGTCTGAAATATTTCCAAACATAAGCAGAGGTACTGTAGATGCCACGAGAGCAACTTGAAGGGACCTGATGCAGTTTTGTCACTGCCTGTCTGTTCCCCTGAGAATTTCCTGTTCTGTTCTCTTAGCAAATGGGATCAAGTGAAGTGTAAGAAATAAATGCTAACTTGATGGATTGCTAGCCCGAACCCTATTGACTTTTTCTTTTTTTGTGTAGCTCTGGTCTGAGACAGGAAACAGAGTAACATCAGACACCAGTGATCTAAGACTTCGGAGAGTTCCAAAGCACACCAGCTTTGTTGATGCCTTTCACAAGGTCAGTGTCACAAAGACAGAGCTGCTAGCAGAAGATTGTGGTGACTGGATACCTGAATCCTCTACCTAAACACTCCCACCCAGCACAGCACCACTGCAAACCACCTCAATTAAGGAAGGTCTCCAATCCAAACCTCTGTTTTAGGGTAGTCTTTTATTGGCCGACCAGGTTGTGCAGGTTTTCTAGATCCCTTCACTAGGCAAGATATCACAAAAAAGCAGATGGAGAGAAGGGAGAAGAAAGGACAAATAACAAGAACATGTTTGACCTTAAAGCCCTTGAGTTCCCTAGCCTGTCCTAGCTGTGACAGGCGGAAGGGTCAAAAGATATTCAAATGTACCTCTCTTAGACATATGCATTTATGTTACACATCGGCCAAAAGTAGCCGCTATGTTTGGTGAGAATAAAGAGGCAAGGAAAGTTTTGCTTTTCCTTTGTTATATACATAACGGCCAACTCTGAATTTAAGCCTTCCTCTTTCCGCTTAAATGCTCAAAGCTCCTTCATGGAACCTCATGGTGCAATAGACAAACTGCAATACTGCAGTAAAGACTGTGTTCACACCCCAAGTTTGATCCTGAGCTCAGGTAGCCAACTTAAGGTTGTCTCAGACTTCCATCCTTCTGAAGTCAGTAAATTGAGTACCCAGCTCTCTGGAGCTGGGGGTGGGGTAATGGGTAGCCTGCATAATTATACTGTAAATTACCCAGAGAGTGTTTTAAGCAGTATATAAGCAGAATACTTTCATTTGGTGGATGGATAGCTGGAGAACAGCCAGTCACTCAGCAGTCTCCTTACTTAAAATGACATCTTATTTTTATTGATTTACTTACTTGATTTTTATCTCACCTTTCTGCCCTAGTGTGGACCCAATGCAGTACCCAAAATTTTAAAATAAACAATTAATTATAAAAAAAATAAAATTTAAAACTATAGTATACATTTTAAAGTGTTATTTAAAAATTATAAATCAGATATTGAAAGATCTTTTCCTGTTGCGTTATGTAGAAAAAGTCAGTTAAGGCCAAATTGGCTGGTTTTATTCAGAGATGAAGACTCAGTTCCTTGCAGTAAGCTCTCTTGTTCTGTATTGCACTGCTGAACAGCTAGATCTGATAGTCTTTAAGCCACGTAGGACATGGATGCAGCTGTGTCGGCCATGATATAAAATCCAGAATCCAACGGGACAACCAATGTGATATAGCTTTAGGTTATGTCTTAAGAGACTTAAGTTCAATCCCCACTCAGCTGTGAAATTCTGTCAGCGACCTACGGGACATAAAAGCAGGATCCAATATAAAAAACCAACATAAATTTATTTAAGAAATTAGTAGCTCAACATAACAGCCTCTGTCTTCTAATGGCTAAACTGTGGGTCCAAAAAGTGGGCTGCTTCACTCGTCCCTAGTCTACGAAGTTGTCTTAAAGTCTCAGTTCTGTCCACATCTCTGCCCATGCCCGTGGGCTGGGTGTGCCAGTCTCTGTATGGGCAGTATCTCTGCCTCCAGATGTTGGAGATGCTCAAACAGCTGTTGTCTCCTTCATTGGCACAGATGTGAGGGTGACAGAGATGTAGAGGCAGGATCTGGGAGAGGCTGGTTGCACCTCCTCTGAGCAATGGCTTCACAGGGTCAGCTGAAACAGGAGGCTTGTCAGGCTTCCTTGGGTGGCTCTGACTGAGGACACTCTAGCACCCATGCCCAAAGCTCTCCCTCTAAATCCTTTCCCACCTCCTCTGTCTCCACTCTCCACCAGTAACCCTCAGTTCCTGTATTCAGTCCACAGCCAGATGCTAGTACTTCTTTTTCCCACATACTGTATGCTCCTCTCCTCCTCCCTCTACAGCCTCATCACCGTTCTCCTCTGCGATTATCCCTGTGCTCCCTCTGCTCCAGCTCCACCCTGAACGTATTCAGTCCACAGCCAGATGCTAGTACTGCACTTTCCCACATATGCTCCTCCTCCCTCTACAGCTTCATCACCCTTCTCCTCTGTCATTATGCCTGTGCTCCCTCTGCTCCACCTCCACCCTGAATCTCATCTATGTTGAAACTTTGCAAGGCTTTTGTAGCCCTATGACATCTAGAACCAGTATCCTCCTCTGTTTTTGGGTCTTCAGTCTCCATTGGCGACTCTGTAGTCTATGCCCCCAGTGTTGGCAGTGTCATGGGCGTCCTCTATGGATAAGGAGGGACTGGATTAACCCTAGGGTGCACCAATGTTGAAGCCATGAGGTAGGCCCAACCTTGGAGCACGCTGGGACCCTTTCATAGGCCCCAAGATGTCCATTGGGAGAACATTCTTCAGGACTTGAGGGATAGAAGTTGCCCATAGCCAATAGCAGTTTGATGGTGACATACCTGCTCAGAAAACTGCTTACTTTTGTGCTTACATGCCTACTCAGAAAGCTGCTTTATAAACCTAAGGGAGCAGGATGTGTCCCCAAATGTTAACAAATGAAGATGGGCAAGGATCCTCCTTGCAGAGTGTGGTTACCAGATGCCACTGTCTCCAAGCTTCTGTAACACCCTCTCTAAGCTATGGAGCCTGAAAGCTCATGTGCAACTTGGCAAAAGCTCTTAAAGCCACTTTGCTTTGTGGGGGAAACGCTGTCCCCTAGAGATTCCTTGCAAATATATACTGATTGGTTCTTGGAGCTGAGTGTGATAAAGGGGCTGAGGGACTGTAGCTTTTCTCTTGATGAGCCTGGAAAAACTAACCTTTTTCTATAATACTCCCAGCATCCCTCAGTTACCATAGCCAGTCCATGCCACCTGAGGAGTTATAGATGTTGTTTTCTAGAAAAAATAACTTCCCAAGCTCTACTCTGCAATCAGCATTGGTCCGTTGCTGGTACAAAAAGAACATCCTTTAAGTCCCACTGATTATTTCTGCATGCCTTTCAATGGCAATCCATATTACCACCTGTTGGGGAGGGTCTCCTTTAATACACTGTCTTAGTTCAACTTCATAAATAAATAAAAATTACAGCTCTGACTAAAAATCTGAGTTGCCTTATTTGCTTTGCTCTGCTGCTCCACCTTTGATGCTGGGACAATCTTTCACTGCCTGTTACTGATTACAGGAGACCTGTGTGTATGTGAATGTCTGCTGCATCGTAGGCACATCTATATATACAGATGCAGTCATATAGAGAGATACAGTATACAAGTACACATACAATTCAAAAAAAGGGGGAGAACCAAACACTCTGAGGAAATTGTGCAGCTGTATAAAAAGTGTGATGGCATTGCTATGAGTGTTTTGTTTTTTCATGTATTCATTAAGTACACCCTACTGAGGGTCAATAGACGTTACTGTGACGTCCACCCTCGTGCCCCTTTGCCTGACCTTCAAGCCTCAGAGCACACGAAGGCAAACACTCTCTTCTTTTACACTTGCTGCCACCAGGTGATCTCTACATCACCATTACTTCAGAAAGACTCAGGTCCACACTTCAAGTCCTTTTAAATAAAACTTTGGTTTATTGATTACAGAGATTCATAAATATCTTCAGTAGCGAATCACATCTAAATTTCCCAAACTACACACTCTATTACTCTGTCTGGCTTTTCTCTCCTCTCTGATTCTTACATTTCTCTCACTAACTCAGTCTCTTAATCTGCCCTCTGTCTCTCTGACCCCGCCTCTTATAGCATCTCTCTTGATTCTGCCTCTCAGCAATATGAATATTCATAAACTATTACATACCGGTAATACAACCATAGATCTAATAAATGGAGAACGCTACAGTTACCTTCCAGAATGGCTGTCCTTCCGGCATGGTATTTCTACGTTTTATTACTTTTCTCTCTTTTAGTTTGGAAGTGTTGTGATGTCTGAGGAAGACAAAAAAGAAATACTTTCTAAATTAGAGGCGGTTGCAGAGAAAGCATGCACTTCTGGCACCACAGATGAAAGTTCCTTGGGAAGGTAACTGCAAATCACTGGCTTTCCTCAGAATTGATCCAATTGGGGTGTGGGAAATAAGGCAACCACTCTGAGGTGGGTCTGTGCCACAATATATCTGAGAGCATGCCAAAGACAACTGTTGTTGTTTCATTTCTTGGCTTGTCCTAGATAGTTTTCTGGTTCTGAGTGTCTCAGTTTTGCTGCAGGGCAACCAGTATTACATTAAAGGATACTTCCTTCTTTGAGACGTTAGTTATTATTTCCCCAGTTTCTTATCTGTGTGAAAGATCAAAAGATATCTCAGGTAGTAAATAGAATGAGGACATAAATTGTAAATGCTGCTTTTGATCCCCAAAATAAGATTTGGACTATTTGATATCATAAATCTACTGTATGTGATTTGGGGATTTGCCTTGAAGATGAACATTATTTTTTTTTCCCAATCACAATTATGGCTGAAAGCTTGTTGTAATTTATGCTGCGTAAGTAAGGCTGATGATGTCATCAGGTGCAGTGATTTTTTTTTTAAGTAAAAATTTTTTTATCTCCCTCCTCAACATTCTCCACACTCTCATGGGACGAGGATAAGTGTTTGGGGGTTATGAATAGGAAGTATTTTAACTTCTGAAAAATCACTCACTGCCAGTGGGATGGCTTTACCTGCAGTGGCAGTTTTTGGAAATTAAAGACACTTGAAGTCTCACAGCCCTCAACAGCTTCCTCATGAGAAAAACATTTGCAAGGGAAGCCTTGAATCCTTATGAGAGGCAATGACCTGGGAATCCCAAGCCAGCAGAAGTGTTTCAAAGGGTTGGTCCCAAAGAGGTTGCTGGGCCATGTGGCTCAATGAGCAGAGATGATGAAGGGTTGCCATTTCCATGCCAAAGAGCTGGGGATGATGGCAGACCTATGAGAGTCTGCTTTAGTTCATTTATTCCAAGTGTCACAATATTTTAACCATTCAATTTCTTACTTTATTATTCAGAACTTACCTAGATTCATGCTCCTGACATTCCATGTTGCAATTATGTTGTCACATAGTAGTAGACTTTCCTTTTACCTCTGTATACCTCAAAATAAAATATCCTTTCAGCTTTAAAGAAATTGATTCATGAACCATAGCACTATTCATAGTTTGCTGCTGTTCCTCATTAGCTGATCAAGTACCTTCTGACCTGTGAGTGTCATCTTCCAACACTATTTCCTGTTAAGTTTGGATTTGGATTATGTCATCATAAGATGTTCTAGATATAAAGCACTCAGAAGTTATTTGCCATACCCCTTCACAAAGTTAACTTGAATGTCACTGCTGTTGTCTATGAAAGATTCTCCACCAATCTGTCCATTAGCTTCTCTTCAAGAATTTCTCTTCCCTTCATCACCATTGAAACTATAAATTCTCATCTCAATTCCTGAAGAAGATAAATGCATCTCACTATGATGTCTTAACTTGGACTGTTCTATCTTATGAACTTGACAGGATACAACACTTATAATGAAGTCTAGTGTTGCTCTTAGCTTCCCTGACACACTCATGTGTAGATGCAAGAGGTGTGTCTTTAAGTATGTAAAAACTCTATACTAAAATTCCACTCATTCCGTTAGGCCATGCCTCCTTTGGCTGTGTAACACTTAGTCAATTGGCTAGCTGGGAAAATAGCCCCCAACCCCACAGAAGTTGCCCATCTGTGTTTTAAACCAATGAAGCAAAATGTCAACATACTTAAAGAGATTTGTTTGGAAAAAGGAAGGGGAAAAGCAGTAGTCAAATATACAGAGTTACAAACTGCTAATTGGACTGCTTGAGTAGACTGTATGGTTTTGGAGCATGTGCAAAGGTCCTACCAATAAAGAGAATTTGAGTAAATATGATGGTGTCAGACTCTCATCTTGGATCATGCAAAAAGATATAAGTGCAAGTGAACATGCTATTACACATTATGGTCCCACTGGATTGGTGCTATGTAAATATAGTACAACGAATGTCTAAACTTATAGAACTTTTTCCCTACCTCAGCTCAAGAACAGATAGTCAGCTTCCCTCTGAACAATCCTCATGGACCATCATCCCATCTCAGAAACCAGTAGTTATCAGTTCATCCGTCAGTGAGACCAAAATGACAGAATCTTCTAAGAGTGTGCCATCATCCATGGAGACAACTCAGCAAGAGAAGAGTAAGTTCATATTCTTTCTCTTAAAAAATTGGTCTGGCATGGGTTGGTTGATCAAAGAATCACAATAGCAATAAATGCATGCGTGCATGCATGCACATGCACACTCATTCATGCAGAACTTTAACAAAGCCTTCTTTAATACAGTGCTCTCCAATGGTATTGGTTTATAACCTTTGTCAGTCCTGGCCAGCATACATAACAGTGAGGGGTGATGGCAGCTGTAGTCTGATAACATTGGGAAAGCATTGGGGAAGTCTGCTCTAAGGGGCCCAGTATGGAATAGGACACAGAGTACTGGAATGGGACTTGAGAGACATGGGTTTAACTTCTCACTCAGCCAGGTTACTCTTTAAGTGACCGTGGGCCAGTCACACTCTTTCAGGTTGTTGTAGGGATAAACTGGAGAGAGAAGAATGCTGTATATGCCCCCCTCGAGCTCATTAAAGGAAAGATGGGATGTAAATGTAACAAATACATAAACCGATAGTGTAATATAGAGTAATCCTTCGATTTTCTCATTTGTACTAGCACAGCAAGTATAATGAGAAGTAGTTGGATGGCACAACTGAGGATATGACCAGACAGCTAAATTGTACTGGGCTGGATTGGGCTAAATAGGGCTACTCTGAGGTACAGTATGCCACTTGGGACAATTCTTGCATCCACATGCAAGGACTGGGTGGTATCAGGGCATTAAACCACACTGCAGCTCAAGCAACCCTGTTTAGTCCATTCCCCTCTTTAAAAGGAAAGGGGGGGAAAACTACAGAATATATTCCCCTCTGTATTCCTTCCTGTCTAACACTTTGTGGGGAAGGAGAGCAGAGAAAACTGCAATTTTTAAAATTTCTTTGTAAGTGGCATATCACTAAATTGGCTTGCCAATCAACCAAATCAGCACTGGGTTAAAAAGGATTCTTTAAAAAAAAAACTCTCTGCATCCTCTTCTGTCTCCCCTTCCATGGGAGCAGCAGGAGGAAGCTTTAAATTTATTAATCAGTAGTTAGATCCTGCAGTGGCTTAAGCAAGATGACAAGTAAGTGATCCATTTTGGTTTGATACTAGTGATTACACCTGCCAGAATCAAACCAAAATGGAGCACTCCTACCCTCACTAAAACAACAACAACAAAAAAAACCACACTAACTACCAACAGGAACTTCAAAAGATGTGAATAGCCCACAAAACAAAGAGTTAACTTGAATGTCACTGCTGTTGTCTATGAAAGATTCTCCACCAATCTGTCCATTAGCTTCTCTTCAAGAGTTTCTCTTCCCTTCATCACCATTGAAACTATAAATTCTCATCTCAATTCCTGAAGAAGATAAATGCATCTCACTATGATGTCTTAACTTGGACTGTTCTATCTTATGAACTTGACAGGATACAACACTTATAATGAAGTGTCACTGCTGTTGTCTATGAAAGATTCTCCACCAATCTGTCCATTAGCTTCTCTTCAAGAGTTTCTCTTCCCTTCATCACCATTGAAACTATAAATTCTCATCTCAATTCCTGAAGAAGATAAATGCATCTCACTATGATGTCTTAACTTGGACTGTTCTATCTTATGAACTTGACAGGATACAACACTTATAATGAAGTCTAGTGTTGCTCTTAGCTTCCCTGACACACTCATGTGTAGATGCAAGAGGTGTGTCTTTAAGTATGAAAAACTCTATACTAAAATTCCACTCATTCCGTTAGGCCATGCCTCCTTTGGCTGTGTAACACTTAGTCAATTGGCTAGCTGGGAAAATAGCCCCCAACCCCACAGAAGTTGCCCATCTGTGTTTTAAACCAATGAAGCAAAATGTCAACATACTTAAAGAGATTTGTTTGGAAAAAGGAAGGGGAAAAGCAGTAGTCAAATATACAGAGTTACAAACTGCTAATTGGACTGCTTGAGTAGACTGTATGGTTTTGGAGCATGTGCAAAGGTCCTACCAATAAAGAGAATTTGAGTAAATATGATGGTGTCAGACTCTCATCTTGGATCATGCAAAAAGATGTAAGTGCAAGTGAACATGCCATTACGCATTATGGTCCCACTGGATTGATGCTATGTAAATATAGTACAACGAATGTCTAAACTTATAGAACTCTTTTCCCTACCTCAGCTCAAGAGCAGATAGTCAGCTTCCCTCTGAACAATCCTCGTGGACCATCATCCCATCTCAGAAATCAGTAGTTATCAGTTCATCCGTCAGTGAGACCAAAATGAAAGAATCTTCTAAGAGTGTGCCATCATCCATGGAGACAACTCAGCAAGAGAAGAGTAAGTTCATATTCTTTCTCTTAAAAAATTGGTCTGGCATGGGTTGGTTGATCAAAGAATCACAATAGCAATAAATGCATGCGTGCATGCATGCACATGCACACTCATTCATGCAGAACTTTAACAAAGCCTTCTTTAATACAGTGCTCTCCAATGGTATTGGTTTATAACCTTTGTCAGTCCTGGCCAGCATACATAACAGTGAGGGGTGATGGCAGCTGTAGTCTGATAACATTGGGAAAGCATTGGGGAAGTCTGCTCTAAGGGGCCCAGTATGGAATAGGACACAGAGTACTGGAATGGGACTTGAGAGACATGGGTTTAACTTCTCACTCAGCCAGGTTACTCTTTAAGTGACCGTGGGCCAGTCACACTCTTTCAGGTTGTTGTAGGGATAAACTGGAGAGAGAAGAATGCTGTATATGCCCCCCTCGAGCTCATTAAAGGAAAGATGGGATGTAAATGTAACAAATACATAAACCGATAGTGTAATATAGAGTAATCCTTCGATTTTCTCATTTGTACTAGCACAGCAAGTATAATGAGAAGTAGTTGGATGGCACAACTGAGGATATGACCAGACAGCTAAATTGTACTGGGCTGGATTGGGCTAAATAGGGCTACTCTGAGGTACAGTATGCCACTTGGGACAATTCTTGCATCCACATGCAAGGACTGGGTGGTATCAGGGCATTAAACCACACTGCAGCTCAAGCAACCCTGTTTAGTCCATTCCCCTCTTTAAAAGGAAAGGGGGGGAAAACTACAGAATATATTCCCCTCTGTATTCCTTCCTGTCTAACACTTTGTGGGGAAGGAGAGCAGAGAAAACTGCAATTTTTAAAATTTGTTTGTAAGTGGCATATCACTAAATTGGCTTGCCAATCAACCAAATCAGCACTGGGTTAAAAAGGATTCTTTAAAAAAAAAACTCTCTGCATCCTCTTCTGTCTCCCCTTCCATGGGAGCAGCAGGAGGAAGCTTTAAATTTATTAATCAGTAGTTAGATCCTGCAGTGGCTTAAGCAAGATGACAAGTAAGTGATCCATTTTGGTTTGATACTAGTGATTACACCTGCCAGAATCAAACCAAAATGGAGCACTCCTACCCTCACTAAAACAACAACAACAAAAAAAACCACACTAACTACCAACAGGAACTTCAAAAGATGTGAATAGCCATGGATAAGGGTTGGGCTGGTTTGTGATTGCCTCTCTGTTGTTTGGTCGCCAGAAAACAGAGTGAACAAGCTCATTCCCAAATTGTGCCAAACTGCAGAACAAAGCAATATCTTATTGCATATTGATACTGGGGGAATTGTGTTTTGCCTCCTGGATCACTTCCATGTTGAAAGTGAGGGATTAGCTTTGATGAAAACTGCATAGCCCATAATGCTAGTTCCCATCTGCCATGTGGATATGCAAGAGACCCACACACACACTACCTGCATAATTTTCTGTTCCGATATTAAAATGAATCCAGCATGTTTCTTCAATGCATTCATTTTCCTGTAAAAGAGCCCTGTGCTCTATGCTGAGTCACTAATGGGACAAGGCTTTTTTATGTTCAAGGTCTAGACTCAGGCACGGTAAGTAGAAATATAGAGCCCTGTGCCTAGCATTGACCACCTCAGAATTATCTAGGTAAGTGGTAACATCTACAGAAGTACATATAGCATTTCCCCATTGATTCCTTGTCACTGGGAATTAGCAAAAAACTTTTTATGGGTAGCCAATAGACTAGTATTTTGCATTCTGGTTGTGACAGGCTTATGTGTAACCAGTTGACCATACTGTGTGCTAAAATGGGCACTATGAAGTTCTGTCATGTGAGGAAAGGTTGAACTCTCAAATGATATTGTGTTGCTCTTAGCTTCCCTGACACACTCATGTGTAGATGCAAGAGGTGTGTCTTTAAGTATGAAAAACTCTATACTAAAATTCCACTCATTCCGTTAGGCCATGCCTCCTTTGGCTGTGTAACACTTAGTCAATTGGCTAGCTGGGAAAATAGCCCCCAACCCCACAGAAGTTGCCCATCTGTGTTTTAAACCAATGAAGCAAAATGTCAACATACTTAAAGAGATTTGTTTGGAAAAAGGAAGGGGAAAAGCAGTAGTCAAATATACAGAGTTACAAACTGCTAATTGGACTGCTTGAGTAGACTGTATGGTTTTGGAGCATGTGCAAAGGTCCTACCAATAAAGAGAATTTGAGTAAATATGATGGTGTCAGACTCTCATCTTGGATCATGCAAAAAGATATAAGTGCAAGTGAACATGCTATTACACATTATGGTCCCACTGGATTGGTGCTATGTAAATATAGTACAACGAATGTCTAAACTTATAGAACTTTTTCCCTACCTCAGCTCAAGAACAGATAGTCAGCTTCCCTCTGAACAATCCTCGTGGACCATCATCCCATCTCAGAAATCAGTAGTTATCAGTTCATCCGTCAGTGAGACCAAAATGACAGAATCTTCTAAGAGTGTGCCATCATCCATGGAGACAACTCAGCAAGAGAAGAGTAAGTTCATATTCTTTCTCTTAAAAAATTGGTCTGGCATGGGTTGGTTGATCAAAGAATCACAATAGCAATAAATGCATGCGTGCATGCATGCACATGCACACTCATTCATGCAGAACTTTAACAAAGCCTTCTTTAATACAGTGCTCTCCAATGGTATTGGTTTATAACCTTTGTCAGTCCTGGCCAGCATACATAACAGTGAGGGGTGATGGCAGCTGTAGTCTGATAACATTGGGAAAGCATTGGGGAAGTCTGCTCTAAGGGGCCCAGTATGGAATAGGACACAGAGTACTGGAATGGGACTTGAGAGACATGGGTTTAACTTCTCACTCAGCCAGGTTACTCTTTAAGTGACCGTGGGCCAGTCACACTCTTTCAGGTTGTTGTAGGGATAAACTGGAGAGAGAAGAATGCTGTATATGCCCCCCTCGAGCTCATTAAAGGAAAGATGGGATGTAAATGTAACAAATACATAAACCGATAGTGTAATATAGAGTAATCCTTCGATTTTCTCATTTGTACTAGCACAGCAAGTATAATGAGAAGTAGTTGGATGGCACAACTGAGGATATGACCAGACAGCTAAATTGTACTGGGCTGGATTGGGCTAAATAGGGCTACTCTGAGGTACAGTATGCCACTTGGGACAATTCTTGCATCCACATGCAAGGACTGGGTGGTATCAGGGCATTAAACCACACTGCAGCTCAAGCAACCCTGTTTAGTCCATTCCCCTCTTTAAAAGGAAAGGGGGGGAAAACTACAGAATATATTCCCCTCTGTATTCCTTCCTGTCTAACACTTTGTGGGGAAGGAGAGCAGAGAAAACTGCAATTTTTAAAATTTGTTTGTAAGTGGCATATCACTAAATTGGCTTGCCAATCAACCAAATCAGCACTGGGTTAAAAAGGATTCTTTAAAAAAAAAACTCTCTGCATCCTCTTCTGTCTCCCCTTCCATGGGAGCAGCAGGAGGAAGCTTTAAATTTATTAATCAGTAGTTAGATCCTGCAGTGGCTTAAGCAAGATGACAAGTAAGTGATCCATTTTGGTTTGATACTAGTGATTACACCTGCCAGAATCAAACCAAAATGGAGCACTCCTACCCTCACTAAAACAACAACAACAAAAAAAACCACACTAACTACCAACAGGAACTTCAAAAGATGTGAATAGCCATGGATAAGGGTTGGGCTGGTTTGTGATTGCCTCTCTGTTGTTTGGTCGCCAGAAAACAGAGTGAACAAGCTCATTCCCAAATTGTGCCAAACTGCAGAACAAAGCAATATCTTATTGCATATTGATACTGGGGGAATTGTGTTTTGCCTCCTGGATCACTTCCATGTTGAAAGTGAGGGATTAGCTTTGATGAAAACTGCATAGCCCATAATGCTAGTTCCCATCTGCCATGTGGATATGCAAGAGACCCACACACACACTACCTGCATAATTTTCTGTTCCGATATTAAAATGAATCCAGCATGTTTCTTCAATGCATTCATTTTCCTGTAAAAGAGCCCTGTGCTCTATGCTGAGTCACTAATGGGACAAGGCTTTTTTATGTTCAAGGTCTAGACTCAGGCACGGTAAGTAGAAATATAGAGCCCTGTGCCTAGCATTGACCACCTCAGAATTATCTAGGTAAGTGGTAACATCTACAGAAGTACATATAGCATTTCCCCATTGATTCCTTGTCACTGGGAATTAGCAAAAAACTTTTTATGGGTAGCCAATAGACTAGTATTTTGCATTCTGGTTGTGACAGGCTTATGTGTAACCAGTTGACCATACTGTGTGCTAAAATGGGCACTATGAAGTTCTGTCATGTGAGGAAAGGTTGAACTCTCAAATGATATTTCAGTGGGCAAAATCCTGTTGTGTAACTTTATGCCAGTACAAGATGGAATGGGCACCAGAAACATATCATTTAAACTCATGGAACATTTCCTATTCCCTCTTTCTTTCAGATTCCACGGTTCCTGAAGGATCCCTTTTGCCTGGGTGGAGTCTTTGGGGATGTTAGAACACTGGGGGCGGGTAGCCTTTAACAATTAAAAATGGATGGTGTAAGTTCATATTCTTTCTCTTAAAAAATTAGTGTGGCATGTCTTGGGCAATGTTAGAACACTGGGGGCGAGTAGCCTTTAACAATTAGAAATGGATGGTGTGTTGCCTCTGCTGGGATTGGGACCACTGGTGATGATCTAGTGGCTTTTTTTATATATTTATTTTTTTACTGTTAACCAGTAAGTTCATATTCTTTCTCTTAAAAAATTGGTCTGGCATGGGTTGGTTGATCAAAGAATCACAATAGCAATAAATGCATGCGTGCATGCATGCACATGCACACTCATTCATGCAGAACTTTAACAAAGCCTTCTTTAATACAGTGCTCTCCAATGGTATTGGTTTATAACCTTTGTCAGTCCTGGCCAGCATACATAACAGTGAGGGGTGATGGCAGCTGTAGTCTGATAACATTGGGAAAGCATTGGGGAAGTCTGCTCTAAGGGGCCCAGTATGGAATAGGACACAGAGTACTGGAATGGGACTTGAGAGACATGGGTTTAACTTCTCACTCAGCCAGGTTACTCTTTAAGTGACCGTGGGCCAGTCACACTCTTTCAGGTTGTTGTAGGGATAAACTGGAGAGAGAAGAATGCTGTATATGCCCCCCTCGAGCTCATTAAAGGAAAGATGGGATGTAAATGTAACAAATACATAAACCGATAGTGTAATATAGAGTAATCCTTCGATTTTCTCATTTGTACTAGCACAGCAAGTATAATGAGAAGTAGTTGGATGGCACAACTGAGGATATGACCAGACAGCTAAATTGTACTGGGCTGGATTGGGCTAAATAGGGCTACTCTGAGGTACAGTATGCCACTTGGGACAATTCTTGCATCCACATGCAAGGACTGGGTGGTATCAGGGCATTAAACCACACTGCAGCTCAAGCAACCCTGTTTAGTCCATTCCCCTCTTTAAAAGGAAAGGGGGGGAAAACTACAGAATATATTCCCCTCTGTATTCCTTCCTGTCTAACACTTTGTGGGGAAGGAGAGCAGAGAAAACTGCAATTTTTAAAATTTGTTTGTAAGTGGCATATCACTAAATTGGCTTGCCAATCAACCAAATCAGCACTGGGAAGAGCAGATAGTCAGCTTCCCTCTGAACAATCCTCGTGGACCATCATCCCATCTCAGAAATCAGTAGTTATCAGTTCATCCGTCAGTGAGACCAAAATGAAAGAATCTTCTAAGAGTGTGCCATCATCCATGGAGACAACTCAACAAGAGAAGAGTAAGTTCATATTCTTTCTCTTAAAAAATTAGTGTGGCATGTCTTGGGCAATGTTAGAACACTGGGGGCGAGTAGCCTTTAACAATTAGAAATGGATGGTGTGTTGCCTCTGCTGGGATTGGGACCACTGGTGATGATCTAGTGGCTTTTTTTATATATTTATTTTTTTACTGTTAACCACTCCCCACTCCCAAAGGCTTCCCCAAGGCGAAAGGGAGCCCTGGAGAACCTCGGAACCCAAAAGTGTATGGGAGAAGGGAAAGGGAGAGAGAGGAGTTTAAATGTTTCTGGCGCCCATTCTGACTAAAGAATAGCATTTTTTTTCTCCTGCTACCTGATGGAAAACCAAATGAAGACACCCTGTTTAAATGACTTAGCCCCTTGTTTTCCTTCTCATAAGACTGTGGCTGCAATCCTGTGTACAGTTGGCTTGGATTCAGTCGTACTGTACTCAGCTGGTCCCAAATGTTGTAGCCAGACTGCTGGCAGCTTCACGAGAAGAGGAGTACATCACTGTGATTGTGTGTTTTGGGGTGAGGAGATCTGAATTTCCTTGCTGAAGGGGCGAGGTTGCACCAACCATATCCTTTTGCTTCATACCAAAGTTTTTGTTTCCCCTTTTTAAAATTACATTTGAAAGCACCCAGTATATGGAAAAATCAAACTATGCAACTATAGAAAGGGGATTGTTATAATGCAGTTGATACAATGACTAGGCAATGTCTGGCCTTCAGCCAGTCTCTTACTCCTGTTGGTAAGTGCTAATGTGCCTCGTGACATAGGTATACTGTGATTTCAGTTTCTCCACACTGCAGCTCAAGCAACCCTGTTTAGTCCATTCCCCTCTTTAAAAGGAAAGGGGGGGAAAACTACAGAATATATTCCCCTCTGTATTCCTTCCTGTCTAACACTTTGTGGGGAAGGAGAGCAGAGAAAACTGCAATTTTTAAAATTTGATTGCCATCATTAAGACCCACAGCTAATGTGCCTCATGACATAGGTATACTGTGATTTCAGTTTCCAAACCCGTAGATGTCCATGTCCTGGATCCTTGGCACCTTGCTCAGGCTGGCCTTACTCTTGGACAACTCTCAGATGGAGAAAAGAGAGCCTATTCTGTGCCTTCCGTAGAAGGATGCAAAAGGTGAGTGGCACTGATTGGAGGGACTTGGCAGAGTTCAGCAGGACCTTTGCTGTGACTCCCAAAACTTTGGGAAGTTTTTTGCATACAGTTTCTCCAGAGCTAAGAAAAGCTTGTGTCTTGCTTTCATTCATAGAAGAGACGCTTACACCATCTCCGTACATGGTCCATGCACATTGATGCTCTGGTGGTGGCTGCCATCTCCTGTGCAGCCAGGTTACAAATCAGCTTGCGTGGTTTGGTGATTGACCTTCAGGACTTAAGCACAGGATTCCTTTAAATGTCACAAGCAGAGAAAGACAGCCTCACTTGTGTCTCTGTAGCATTAAAAGATAGCTGTCATTACAGGCTAACTCCTGGCCTGAGATAATATAGAACATGTAGCCAGCTTCATCTTTTTTGTTTGTTGTTCCACCTTTGGCTGTCCTTTGAAGTTCCTCATTGTTCCCCCATTTCCCACCTTTCCTTACATACAGCAATGTATGTAAAAAAGTGCAAATAGTTTTGTTACAGGCTTGCAAACATGTATACCTGGAAATGTTGGAAAATATCAATCTTTTTTGGAGGAAAAAGGTAATTTGTATGTGATAGCAGTGGTGATGCAACTGATGAGTCACCAGTATCAGTTAATCCCTCACAGGCATCAGTCCATCAGGTTTATGGATGGATTTTGAAATTTAAGCAAAAGCTTCCTTTCTCACCCTCTCAGTTCTTCTTCTCTCTAGCTGTCCATGTGGGAGATCTGATCCCAGGACAATGGGGGACGAGAAACAACTTAGGTGGCTGTGAGTAGGATCAGGGCTGTAATTACCTAGTTTGCATGAGGGGTTATCATTCTCTATGTTTTCCTGTTTCTTGTAGCACTGTTGCCATTTTTTTGTGACTGTGTGATTTTTCTACCTTGCATTAACTTTTTGTTTTGAATGTGTTGTTAACTCTTTCCCTTAAGAAACAATAAAGTTTAGTTCCATCATACAGTACATATAACCCAGCCTGTCCACCATCCAGAGGGCTCCCCAGTTAAGGAAAGGAAAAACCAGCCCTCTCAAGCTTGCGTTATATTTTTTCTTTGTTTAATGCATTTCCAGGACCCCAGAAGAGAAATCCGCTCATCAGGTAAATAGGGGGTTTCTTTTTTCTTTGAAGGGTAAAGTGTGTGTGGCAGCTACACATTAAATTGTTTTGAATGTGTTGTTAACTCTTTCCCTTAAGAAACAATAAAGTTTAGTTCCATCATACATATAACCCAGCCTGTCCACCATCCAGAGGGCTCCCCAGTTAAGGAAAGGAAAAACCAGCCCTCTCAAGCTTGCGTTATATTTTTTCTTTGTTTAATGCATTTCCAGGACCCCAGAAGAGAAATCCGCTCATCAGGTAAATAGGGGGTTTCTTTTTTCTTTGAAGGGTAAAGTGTGTGTGGCAGCTACACATTAAAGGTGATGTAAAAGTAACACACATGCACACCATCAGCTTTTTCAGAGGCTGGTTGGGGAATAAGCTTTACACAGTGCGAGAATATATTTTTCCTCAGCTCCAACTTTTCAGAAAAAGTATTCTGAGCTGGATTTTGTGCCTGTCTATCACTAATGAACATTCAGGAGGCACAGAACACAGAACTATAGAGTAGGACCTATAGAGCACACATACCAAGGCCAGCCTCCTTCATGTTGACAGGAAGAACTGGGAGATGTCCAGGAGAAACTGAGGAAAAACGCTAGAAAGTGTTTGGCTTTTTTACATTATATAAATAGTTTGTTTGCTGAGGACCAGCCAGCTGGTTGTACAGTTTTCAGCTGAGTTCCACCTGTTACTGAGCTTTCAACACATTATGCTTACAAACCATCAAAGCAGTTGACCTGTGACCGCTTGCTGTTTTGTGGGCTTTGCAAACATCTGTTGAACTCATAGCCACACATACACGCACATGTACCTATATATATGGCAGACAGTCCTTTAATATATTAAACATACATCCTTGTTATTTAAGAAATAACTGTTGGAATTACCTTACCTCAGAGTGACTTTACTAGCACACTACCTCACTTCAACATCCGATACTAAATCTTTATTCTTCAGTTGCTTCCCGATCCCATTTGTTCCCTTCTCTGTTTCTTTATTTTCTTTGCCTTCTTCTTGGAACATCTAATTGAAGTAAATACTCTGTGAAGTAAATACTCTGTGTAAATACTCTAACTGAAGTAAATAAGCTATAAATTAAGTCCTTTGTTCAATGTCTTGCTTGTGCAGACTTTGCTTTTGTTTTTCCCCTCACTGCTGCCCATACTTCCCATAGCTGAGATTTTGTAATCTAGAAAAGGTCTGTTTTTTCTGTTCTGTCCCTTTTCTCTTCCTCTGTTAGTTTCCTGTCATATCTTTTACTCTGATTTCTATTGCATGTTTCTGAGGGGCTTGCTACACTTTAGCAAGCTCTGGTGCTTCCAGTGGAAAATCTGGATCACATTGTGAGAAACACAGTATTAATTCAACATGTCCATTAACATGGTTAGATTTTACTAGAAGCTTCCAAAGTAGCAATACCTAATCATTTTATTTTCCTCTCTTCTCTCTTTCATCTTCTAGATGTCGTTCTGTCACAGGCTCTCTAAAAATTGTCAGTGTACATCGTAAGGGCAAATTTGTCCGAATCTTCAACGCACTGTTGACCAAGGAGGTAGACCTTAGTGGCTACATCATTCAGCAATGGGTTGGAGGATATCCAGTGTCCGTCTATCGCTTCCCACGTGGCACCATTCTACCTGCACAACACCATATCACTGTAAGCAATAGGCACCCTTCTGTGTCCTAATCCTTGCTACGGTGTAGACTCTGTAGATGTGCAAAACAGGATATGCATATTCACAGAGAAATAACTCAAACTCATCCATGCTCATCCCTTCCTGACCAAAAGCAGGGCTTAGAATTGTTCTCTATGACTCCCCAAATCATCAACTGCTGTGAGCCAATAAATTAACATTTCCAAATTTCAGGCAGGATTCTTTCCTGATTCTGCCCAGAGACTGAGTATGTAAGCTGAGCTCTGCTCTGCTGCTTCATTGTGATCTTTCTGTTCCCCTGTATTGTGTGTGTATGTGGGGGGGGGGAGTGTGCCCACAAGAAAACAGATACATACTTTCTCTTGTGCCCAGTAATTCCTGATTGTCAGGAGACAAAGCAGGCTTCTATACACCAGACTATCCCAGGAGAAGAATGAAATTCTGAAATAATGAGGAGCAAGCCTAATTTTAAATGCAGGAATAGGCACCTGTAGCCCCATGGACCTTTTCAAGCTTGAAAAGCTGAGATGGGAGTGGTGATTGCTGGGAATGGAGGGTTGGGTAGCGGAAATGGGAGAAATGTGTATTGCAACCTTTTCCCGGCTTGCCATTTTTCTATTCCAAATTGTCTGCCTAGGTTGGTCACCATCACCACCACCAATGGACTTTGCATGGCCAGTCTCCAAAGGACCACCAGGCTACCGTTATAAACATGTGATGGTGGAAGGCTCCAGGTCAATTAAAGTGGGTTGTAGATCATGCAGAGATATAACACAGCTTATTCATCGGTATTCTGCTTTATAGGTCTGGGCTGCCGTAGCAAACCTTGCGCATGAGCAACCTTCAGACCCATTGTCAGGCCCACGTTTTTTCAGAGCAGGCCCTGAATGTGTTACTGTTCTCTGTGATCACAGTGGCCAGGTGAATTGCTTTATTTAATAATATGGTTTAATGGGCAGGGGGATCTTAGGTATGCAAAATGAGTAAGAACAGTGATGGCCAAAAGCACTTCCTTAAAATGTAAATGCTTAAAATTGGCTCTCAAAATGCACATTGTTCAGTGCTTTGTATTCCTGGGTCTGCTGTACCGCATGGATTGTGGGCTTTAGCACAGGCTACTACAAAAGATACAGGAGTCTTTGAAATGTGCACATTGCAGAATTCCAAGAATTTATTGGATCAAGACACACTAAGACAAATGAATAAAGCCAAAAGACATCATGAAACACATCAAATTCAGAAAGTTAAAATAATCTATTCCTGTAGTGACAAACAAAAAAATGCAGATCATTCAAGATAAAGTAAATAAGAAAGAATTGCAGGAAAGAGAATTAATTATTTGCTGAACAGTCTTGGGGACTGATTTGAATATACGGTAACACAATATTTGGAGTTACCTCAACCAAAATCAGAATAGCTATGATGACATCCAAATGCCAGTTGGCTTTAAAAAAAGGAGAGCTGTTTTGAAAGGAAGTGATGCATTGCATGGATTTTCTTTAGCAGGGACTGGGAGATATGGCTAAAAAATACGTCAGCATTTATTATCCAAAAGTGACATTTACTAGAGTAAAGAGAGGTCTGTTGTAAGAGAAACTGTGTTTGGGTTCACCAAGGTATGTTGAAGAGAAATCCATACATTTAATGTGGATTTAACCTGGAGAGGGCCAAGGGTGGCCCAAAGACATCTTACTTCTAAGGTGATGATGGATGAGAGCCCCTTATCCCCATTCCAGGTTAAAAAAACTAACTGGACCAGCAGGTGAATGTTTTTTCAACACCTGTAAACTTGAAAATGAGGCCACATCCTCTGGTAGAGATGAGGCAGCTGATTCTCTGCCCTAATGATATGGCTGGCTCTGGAAAGATTGCCTTGTGCTCATATCCTGATAAATAGAACAGGCAACATATTGTTATCCTGCTGTTCCTTCAAAGACTTCAAGATTGCTGATGGCAGATACCTGCTAAATTCTGTCCTTTTCTCTTTTACATCTTCAGTTTTTTCCTTTGATATTTTAAATTGTAAAGTTACGTTTTGAGCACTGGCAGACATGTAGCTTGTAAATGTAAATAAATAGAAAAATGCAGGTCTAGTAAATAACTTTTTCTCTTTTGCTTGCCTCTCCCGAGGTTGTGTCACAACATACAAATCCTCACCAATTCACGGCAACTGCAGAGGCCTACAGTGACAATGTGGACCTTTCCATAGACAAATTTCCGCTCAACAATGATGAGGATGATGAGAATGACTCCTCCAGGATAGATGTGTCTTTTTCTAAACAGAATCGCAGCAAGAAGGCAGATTCAGGGATCTTGGTGAAGAGAAGGTACAAAATCAATCAGAGAGCAAGCCAGTCAAAAACAGGACAAGAACACACTGTCATGCAATGCATTCAGCAACCTGCAGAACCAGTTACTGGAGGTCCAGCATCCCCACTTCCACTGATGAATGCAGGATCTGTTTTTGCTGGTATTTACTGGAGGTCCAGCATCCCCACTTCCACTCCTGAATGCAGGATCTGTTTTTGCTGGGATTTCTTTTGTTTTCCCACACACACACACTGCATGGCCTAGGAGGTGGGGCTTTCCCTCCTTAAATGAGGGTGAGCCAGGACCTGGACCCTTTTCCCTAGGAGGCTGAGCTGAGGCTGAAGACCAGGTTTGCCTGCATGGACATTTTGCTGAGGAGTTTGTTTTTGCTGGGATTTCTTTTGTTTCCACCCCACACACACACCGCATGGCCTAGGAGGTGGGGCTTTCCCTCCTTAAATGAGGGTGTGCCAGGACCGCGCACCTAACGGCGCGCAAAATCCTCAAATTCTCTGACTCTGTCTCTGACCCCAATATGGTAAATAGGAAAGCCAATTAGCATTGCATACACCTGGGAGGCAGGAAAGTTTTAAGGGTCGGATCATACTTCTGCACTATTAGAGAGCAGGCTGGGTAGGTGGGGCTTGTCAACCATGGAAGGCAGCCCATCTAGGAGAGGAAAAACTCCGATTTCAAACCTCCACTGCCTTGTGGCTATATCCAGTCATAGAAAAGGCTTCAGGAGTTAACCTAGAGGCAAAATCCAGAGCTGGAGTCCCGAAGGTAGTTCGTGTCGTTCTGCCAACTCCTGCAACGTTGCTGGAACCAGTTGTATTGGCTCTTGCCTTTCCATTGGACCATTTCAGCAATGTGGAGAGGGGGGATTTGCTGCTTGGGTAACAGCCTATCCTCCCTACTACTTTACCCAGGCTTCATGCTCTGGAGAGGACACTTCTCGATACAGACCATATTACCATAGTCTCTCGAGACTGAAGGATGCCTATGATGTAATGCAAGATGCAGTGACAACATACCTGATGGATGGCTTCCATCTAGCCTCTGTTTAAACATCACCAACAAAAAGGAGACTAACTACTCCTGAGGCAATCCATTCTGCTGCCATACACCCTCAGGAAGGTTTAGTTAAAATCTGCTTCTCAGTTGTTTGCACTCATTGGCCGGAATCAAGTAGTAAGTTGCATCTACAGTAGGCCAATTGGATCTGTGAGGATTTTGGTGAGTCATTTGTAAGTTCCATTGATTCAATGAGCCTATTCGAGTTGTAACTTTACTGTTGGACTTCAGACAAAGAGTTGGATCCAGTTTGACGTCCTGCAGAAGGATCACATGAACGGTTCGAAGTACATGAAATCCTTAGGGAAGACTTTGAAGCACCCCAGGAACCCCCATCCTCCCACGTCTTCCTTTTAAAAAATATTTAATTTGTTTTTAAAAAATAGTTTTTCCTCATAAAGTTCTTCTGGGCCTTCGAGGGGTTATAAAAGTCAGCTATGCGGCGACCATATTGCTCCAATGTATTATATTTTTAAAAATGGGGGCTCTAGAGAGCATAAGGGGGCTTTTTCAGTTCAGAAAACAATTTTTAAAAAAGATCAAGCCATTTTTCAGTGAAAAGAGGAGAAAAAAAACCCACACTGTAGTCCCCTTAAAATATATATATATCAAAAATCAAATGTGCAAATTAGCCTCTTTGGGCCACCCTCTTCTCCCTTGTGGCTCTCAGGCTGCCAGCAAATTGGAGGGGGGGAATGCCTGTCACACCCCCTCCTTCAAGGTTATCCATCCACTCTAAGTTTTGGTTTATGCTTTTCCATCATGACTTCTGGGAGTTGTAGTTCTGAGTCTGTTTTGATGCCAGCAGCGGTGCCTGGAAGAGGTGCGGGCTCAGTGCCCACACTCCACAGTCACGTAAATGGTGACAAAAACTAACTATTATTATTTACATTGTTGTATGCATGTATACTTTTATTACCTGATGTTAGCCGCCTAGAGTGGTCCTGAGTTGGCTAGATAGGCGGGATATAAATAAATAAAATAAACTGGATAGCTATTCCTCTCAGAAAGCAATTGCCATGTTTCCATGTGTAGTTGTGGAAGTGCAGAGGGGCCTTAAAGGATTAGTGGGAGAAGGCAGCTCAGAACTTGCCTGGCCACTGCTGAAGTGGAGTCAGAGCACCAGTCCTCATCTTCAGAGAAGCACAGTGACAGGGTGGCCCTGGAAGATACCAGGCTTTTGAGACATAAACAAATCTGTGCAACAGCCAGATTGTCTAGACTGCGGTGGCCAGCTGCTGGTCTGAGTGTCTTTAGATACAGTCTAGCTGAAAAGGGCAGCTGTTCACTAAATGCTCCTAGAACAATGTGACAGGATTTTTATCAGGAAAAAGGATGTTCACACATTTGATAATGGAGGCAACTGGCCAGCTGCATTCTAGAGCTCTCTGGTCCCTTTGAAACAAGAGGAATCAAATTATGTGAGCAAGGTGGTCCTCCTGAACCACACTACACATTTAGTACTTGTGGTCCAGAAAAGTAACTTTCCAGTCTTTGTTCCTGCCCCTATATTGCATGTTTGTCTGCTCCACTGATGGCAAAACAGAATGATTACATATGTAAGCTGCAAACTGGAGCATTCTCAGCCAGATCATAGTTTAGTTTAGGATTCACTAGGTGACCTGTGGTTCATGAGCTGTGGTTTGCTCAGTCTCCTCTGTTTCACCCTTCCCCAGCAACATGGATATTGTAATGCTAGAATGCCTTATTGAAGTTTGATAATATGATTAAGATTGCTGAGACAATCTATGGAAGTTATTTTGACAATGTGGAAAGAGTGAAATGTGAAATGTAACTTTACTGGCTGAAATTCTGGTTGTAGCCTAATCCAAGCCATAATTTTAGCCTGTTCCTCCCTGATAAAAAGAACATCTCGGCTGTGATTCTCAGGGGTGGGGATGCATGCACACACAAATAATTCCCCTGGGATTTGGAATTGGGACCCTTTGTTTATCAGTGAGGAATGGACTGAAAGTTACAACTTGGCTTACACAACAAGAAGGATTTTGGTCATTGTGAGCTTCCTAATCAAGTAGTTTATTTTTTGTGCCAAACAGTTGTTGATGTCACACATTTGATGTCAAACTTCAAAGCTTACAGGGTTATCTAGACTATTGGGGTGTGTTGGTAGCACAAAGCTGATGCCTTTTTGTTTTCTTTTGTTTTGATTCAAGAAACAAGAGTTTCTTATTGAAACAAACTTTCTTTTTAACTGTTTAGGTACTCAAGACATTTTTCCATTGATGCTTCAGCAACTACCAAAACTTCAAGTGGCCGTTCTACTGGAACCAAGGCAAAAATCAAAGATACAAGTAGAGAGTCTACTGGCTCATTTTTGTATTCCTCAAAACCTCCATCACGCTCAGGTATGTAGGCCAGTGTAGTAACTGTGTTTATAGTTACAAAGTAGTTTAAGGACTTCGTCCACACATATAACATGTTCATTTATTGCTTTCAGAAAAATCGGGAGAGTATGCGTAATGAACAACATTCATAACCAGGAACACTGTCCTAATTGCTTGTTACACTCAATTATTTGTAATTAAGTCTATATCCCTTTTTCAATACAAGTTTGAGCAGAGAATTGATGAAGAAAACCCTCCCCATCCCTCTTTTCCGTGTTCCCAGTTGCCTTCCCAGCAGCTCTTACCACCAACGCCCTGGTTCAAATCATGGGGGGTTGCGTGTGCTGAGAAGGCAGTTTAAAGAGTAGGTGGGCACGTAGAAAGATCTCTCTCTCTCTCCCTCTCTCTCTCTCTCTCTCTCTCTCTCACACACACACACACACACACACACACACACACACAAAGGGACGGCTACTAAGAGGTTATCAGTGTGTTATCTGGCTAATAACCATGATTTCTACCCACACACACCTATCTGGGGAGTTGGTTAAGTGAGGGACTCGTAGGAGTCTCTACCTCAGAAGTGGGGACATTCTTCAAAAAAAAGGTTCTTCAGTGTACCAGTAAATTTTGAAACTAGACCCATGTGGAATGAGCCATCTCATTACTTAATTATCTTCTAGCTAAAGAACCTGGTTCTCCCCTTGAATGAGAGGCTCGTTGGTTGTTGTAGGTTTTTCGAGCTGTCTGGCAGTGTTCTTGAGGTTTTTCTTCCTAACCTTTCAGCAGTTTCTGTGGCTGGTATCTTCAGAAGACAGGAATCAGAACGCTTTCTGTGCTCTGGTGCAGTTTTGTGAGATAGCTGAGTATTTATAGCTGTGGGATCAGCTTTTTTTGGTCCTTTTCAGGAGATTGGGTGATTATGGTGATCAGCATGTTTTTTGTTGTGGGGAAAGATGATCTGTCACTGTGACTGATGGGTATCGTTAGCTGGTCTTTTGTGTGCACTGATCACTGGTCCTTGTGGCTGGGTAGAGTTTGCTGACCTTTTGCAGGCTGTGTTTTTCAGTGCTGGGAGCCAGGCTTTGTTGAGTTTTAGACTTTCTTCTTTTTTTGTTGAACCTCTGTTGGTGTTTGTGGATTTCAATAGCTTCCCTGTGCAGTCTAACATAATGATTGCTGGTGTTGTCCAGTCTTCTGTGTTTTGAAATAGAATCTCATGTCCAGTTTGTTTCAAGGCATGTTCAGCTACTGCCAATCTTTCGGGTTGTTTTAATCTGCAGTGTCTCTCATGTTCTTTGATTCTGGTGTGGATGCTGCATTTTGTGGTTCCAATATATACCGGACCACAACTGCAAAGTATCCAGTATACTCCTGCAGTGGTGAGTGGGTCCCTTTTGTCTTTCACTGACCATAACATTTGTTCTATTTTTGTGGTGGGCCTGAATACTGTTTGTAGATTGTGTTTTTTCAAAAGTTTCCCCATGTGGTCCATAACCCCTTTGATGTATGGCAGGGATATTTTATTTGTGGGTGCCTGTTTTCCTTCTTCAATTTGGTCTTGTTTTCTTGGTTTGGTGGCTCATGTGATTTCATTTTTGGAGTAGCCATTTGCCTGTAGGGCCCAATTCAGATGGTTGAGTTCAGTGCTGAGAAATTGAGCTTCACAATTCCGATTTGCATGGTTTACCAGTGCTTTGATTATGCCTCTTTTTTGTCCTGGGTGGTGTTTGGAGTTTTCTGTAGACCTTCTAGGACTTCCCAATAGGAAAGAAATTCTTCCAGTTTTTCTTCACCGTGGTTCCAAATTGCGAAGGTGTCGTCCACATATCGGAACCAAACTGTGGGTGCGAAGGGTGCCGAAACCAGGGCCTGTTTTTCAAAATTTTCCATGTAGAAGTTTGCTATAACTGGGCTGAGGGGACTCCCCATGGCCACTCAAGAACACGTCCAGATAGCCTAAAAAACCTACAACAACCATCAGATCCTGGCCATGAAAGTGTTCGAGAATAGCATGGCTCATTCTTTGCTTCTGCCCTGCTTCAATTCTGTCCTTTTTCATTTGCTAAGACAACACCCCCTTTCCCAAGCCCACAAGAGCACTCCTTATTTGTTGTTTTAGGAAACTAATTTTAAACACATACTATCTATTGCACCTGACCAGCCAGTATCCTTACAACCTCCCAGACCACCCGCCCCCAAAAAATAACCCTCCAGTAAATCACCAGAGGGCTATAGAGCAAAATAAATTCCTGTTTTCTAATGCTAATAAAGAACTCACATTTTCTTTTTTTTGGCAGCCAGTGAAACTCCTTCTTCTTCCAGCGAGGGAGATTATTTTGCTTATCGCTCATGGAAACCTCTCGTTCAGGAACCAGAAGCCAGAGTAAGTAAAATCTATGGGTAATCAATATTGGAAGAGTTTTAAAGAATCCCTTAAATCTGCACATGTTATGTAGATCTTTTTCAGCTCAAGGCTCCTAAGCAGACGGGAGGAAAAGAAAAGCAGAGGAGTCCTGTGTTTATTTTCCCCTCCAAACATTGTTTCACTATGATGGGGTGGGTAGAAAATGTCTCCCTGCCCCTGCCTGCTGCTCTATACATTTTCTTTTCTCATACACATAGCTTTTTGTAGGAAGCAAATCAGTGCAAATTATTTTCCCTTCTTCTATCTTGTGCACATCACAGAGGGAAGCAAATGCGGCCAGTTTTCTCCCCAAAGCTCTTTGTGAATTTGGTGAGCACAAATAATGCCTGGCCCCTTTATCTAACCAATATTTCTAGATCCCTACAAGGGAGAATTGGGGAAGATGGGGAAATAAAGTATCCTTCCCCCTCTGCTGATGTTCTTTTAAGCCCTCTCCCCAGCAAACAGTGGTATGGGAACATGGCTTCTGAAGTGAATATTGTTCTACCCTTAGCCGTTCCCATGAAAATCTCTAGACTCTTGTCTGTTACACCCCTGTTTAATTGTTGTTGACCAGCATTTAACCTTGAGCCCATTAAATACCAGGCATATTAGTCAAACACAAAGGAGCTGATCAAACCCGTGCCACCACGGCACAATAGTTCTGTCTCCACGGCCCTTTAAGGAAACTTGTAATGCCCTACACTTGAGAACCTCTTGCTTTACTCCTAAGCAGTGCAACTCGAAGTCAGCATTTAATAATGTCTGTTCCAGTAATAATAAGCTATTATTACAGGCAAGTCCAGAAGGAAAGAATAGGAGGAGGAGGGAGATGCAGGGAAAAATCCCTTACGTATCAGTGTTTGCTCACTGGAACAGGGCTGGCCCTGTAAGTGGACAAGAGCTGGAAAGTCATCCTCTTTTCCTTTCCTCTTGCTTGCTCTCAGGTAAACATCAGTTTATCTATCTAGATAATAATTTGATAGTGAGCAATAAATCCTACTGACTTCAAAATAGATTTAACAGGTGTAATAAGTACAAAGAGACAGAGGGGACAGCTACAGTAGCAATAGGGGGTGATTTTGCCGGGGCTGCTCGGTAACAGTTTAGAAGGGGGGGGCTTGAATAGATCACTCTTTCTGTTCACATGGAAATTGCTCCAGCAGCCCTTCTACTTGCAGTCTAGTCAAGCACATGTTAATGTGTTAAGACTGCTCCATTTTTTCTCTTTGGTCACAGTGTGTCACTCCCCTTCTCACTCCCTATCTCCTTCCTGCCTTCTCTTTTGCAGTTGTTGTCAGCTGGTTGGGAAACAGCCTGCTTCCCTTTGTTCTTGGGTGGGCATTAATGCTGGGTTTTTATGCACTCAGACGCATGGGGTATGGAGTGCCATGTTTGAGCCCCACGTTTCTCCTTTTCTACTTTTTAAAGTTTTTTTGTAAATGGCATAGTGCTTAAGTGAAACCACACATAGTTGAAAAGTGTTTTTTAAAATAAAATAAAATAAAAATGGCTTTTTTTCACTTCAAAATATTGTGGGGGGTGCCATCTGCAGTCACCGCCAGAACACGCCCACCTCTACACATCATCACTGATGTGTACAAAGAACATACACACCCCAACCCCACGCAAGGCTATTATGCAGTGTTTATCTGGATTGTTTCTAATCATTTCATATAAACAAAAGGCTCCAATTCTAGACTGATCAGGGAGGGACTGGTCCCCAATAGGGACAGGTTGGAATGCTCTAACAAGGACATTGTGTAGTCAGTATTTTTTGGAGTGATCCTAACTGTTCCACCAGAGGGCTATAGAGCAAAATAAATTCCTATATATCCAGCCTCGGAACATGGTTACTGGAATCAAAAGACAGGAGCAAGGAATAGGGATTCAGCCTGTGCTGGATGGGATTATACTCCCCCTGGAAACAGGTGCAGATCTTGAAGGTGCTCCTGGATTCATCTCTGAGCCTGGATGCCCAGGTTTCTGCAGTGGCCAGGAGTGCATCTGCACAGTTGAAATTAGTGCACCAGCCGTGCCCCTTCCAAGTGAGGTCTGACCTGGCCATGGTGACACATGGCCTAGTTACATCCTGGCTGGATTACTGAAAATTGTTCTACATGGGGCTGCTTTTGGAAAGTGTTCCAAAACAGGGGATTGAAAATGCTGCAACCAGATTGTTAACTGGGACTGACTGCAGGTAACACATAAGCCCCTTGTAGCCCGCAGCGCCACCACATCCCATTTTAACTTATAAAGATTTTAAAGATTTTAAAAATATTTTAAAGCCCTAAATGACTTCTGTCCACCCTATCTAAATGACATCTCCCTTTATGAGGCTGCCTGGATGTAAAGATCATCAGGGGAGGCCTTTATCTCAGTACCAATGCCTTCACAGGTTGCATTTGGTGGGGCCACAAGAGAGGCCTTCTCTGTTGCTTCACTCAGACTCTGGAACTTTCTCTCACACGAGGCCAGGCTGGCACCAATACTGTATTGCTGTCCTTCCGCAAGCAGACAAAAACTGTTCTCCTCAGGCAGGCTTTCTCTCAGTGATTGGCTGTCTGAGGGAGGTTTTTAAATGGAATTTTTTTTAAATGTGTTTTTGGTGTTGATTTCGTTTACCATTTCTAGTGTGTTATTTGTTTGATTATTTTAAAATATTTGTATACTTACTGCTTCTGGCTTTTAAATGTTCTCTTTTAATAATGTGAGCCACTTTGGGTCCTTATTAAGGAAAAGGGCTGTTAAAAATATTTTAAATAACAAACAAACAAATAAACAAACAAACAAACAAATAAAATGCATTTTCTAGATGCAAGGATTATGAGGGAATCCTTACAGTGGTTTTACACCAGTTCCCTTATTTGAATGGTGGCAGTTTTTTCAGTGTTGTTTTCAAGAACCACATGACACATACTATTATTAGTCACCATTAGTCACAGGAACTGTGCCTGTGGTTTGGCTATCACTTTTCAGAGAGTAGAAGGAACAAACAAAAAAAAAGTGGATGAATCAGCTTTGAAATCATATGTTTAAATCCCCTGTTGCATTTTGTTCAGTCTTCACCAGTAAGTGGGAGGTGTGATTGGGTGCACCTATGGCTACCATCACTGTTGATGTAAGTTGGTGGGTGTTTTCTTTCCCTTCTTTCCAAATGAAACATATGCATTCCTATATTCTGCATTGGTGCCTCTTCCAGCAGAGTTGGTGGCTGATGTGAGCCAGTGAAATATGCACTTTATAAATGTTATGACATTAGTGGATTGACCTGGCCTCGTCTCTAATAGCTCCAACATCTGCTAGCCCAAGCCAGTAAGCTTCTCCTCACACCCAGTGAAGGCATTACCTGTTTAAATTAAATGAGAAGAAGAGGAGGAACAAAGGAATTTAGTAGAAAATTTTACTCAGAAGATTATTTTGGCCACATAGTAGCAGGAAAAATAAGGCAGTGGGAACTGGGGAAGGGCGTTTTTGTTTGTTTTGGAGGGCATTTTTGTTTGTTTTGGACAATGCCCAGAACTGGAGGTCCCTGCTGTAAGCTTGGGAGTGTGAAACAGGAGTGGGTATTCCCAGATGTGCCGGGGAGGAAGGCAGGATTAGCACACTATGTAGGTGGACATTGCAGTATTCATTGTAAGGATAAACAGTAGTGCATGATGAAACTGTTATGATGAAAAGGTAAACCCTAGCAGGTATGGACTTCTACTCTGCAAAGGTAGCTGAAGTAGAATGGACTAAGGCTGTAGAAGGAATATGGTGTTCCTTTCATTGAGCCCCGAGTCCCAGTTGCCAATGCCAATTCTGGTACATGGAGAAATGCACACCGAGGGACCCAGAATGCTCAGACAAAAGTAGGTATGGAAGTGTTTGTTGGAGGATGCAATCAGAGCTTGGAAAAGCTACATTTTGAACTACAGGTCTCAGCATCACTTCCCGCCAACCATCATAGTTCTGTACTAGGTAGAGAGAGCACCTTCTCAGACATCCTGTGGGTGCCACAAACTGCTGACTTTCTGGTTTGTGGGGAGGTGGGGGAAGGGATAGCCATAAAGACTAATCATTATTTATAGGCCCATCTACCTTAACTTTGTTCTGTATCTTTTAAAAGTGCCCAGGTTGGCGAATATCACTATTTTTTGTATCAGATTCCACATTTGAGTAATGTACTGTGTGAGACATTTCCTTTTATCTGTCTGGAATCTCCCATCATTCATCTTCTATGGATGACACCAGAAGCTAGTATTACATGAGAAAGAGAAAAGCTACTTCTCATCAAGTTTCCCCATATTTTACATACCGTATTTTTTGCACCATAAGACGCACTTTTTTCCCCACAAAACAGGGGGGTGGACAGTCTGTGCGTCTAATGGAGCAAAGAAAACAGATTATACATAACTTCACTTTAGATCTTGCCTAGCAGCCTCTTTGCTGCTATCAGGTTTTCCTAATCAACTGTGGGCTTAGCTAGATAGATCATTTGGAGCAGGCTGGTGCAGGCTAAATAGGGCTGCTTAAGGACAGGCAGAGGTCTGGTACGCCATGTGGTGCAATCCTTGCATCCATATGGCATACACACCTGAAATGACCCTATTTGGTCTCCTTCCCTTAAGAAAAAGAGAGAGAACGGAGAAAAAACTCTCCTTGCCTCCTTCTGTCACCTCTTGGTTCCTGGAGGAAGCTTTCAATTTAAAATATTAGGACCTTCAAGGACATTCTTTCCTTTAGGTAGGGATTTTGACCTATGGTTTAGGTTTTATCTGGAGAATAGTCACCAATCATAGAGTTTTTAGCTTGAGTTCTGTCCTCTGTTTTCTGTTCTCTTTTTTCTTTATTGGTTTTTGGAGAGTGAGGTGGAGTGTGAGAGGATGATTTTTGTTTGCACAACTGCCCAGAATAGTGGATTTTCACTAAGTGGGGTGGTATAAAAATGTCATCCATCCATCCATCCATTCATTATTTCCCCCTTAAAAAGTACAGCAGATCAGTGCTGTTCTATTTTTTTTTTAACTTTGTTTCCTCCCTCTTCCCCTCCATGGAGGAGCAGAAGAAGTTTATAATTATCCAGTTTCCCAATATTATTAAATGGTGAAGCTTTCTCTTTTAAGCCACTAGTGATATTCGGTAATTGAAAACCAGCTGCAGGAAGCTCCTCTTTGGTTTAATCCCAGCAACTGCACATGCTGGAAATGAACCAAAATGATGCAGTCCAACCCACACCTAAAAAAAACAAGAGCCCCTGACAGGGACCCAGAAAAGTTCTGGACACAGGCTGGTTCCCTTTAGCAATTATATCATCTGATTGCAATCAAAAAGAGCAAACCTGCCTGTACCCATAGTGGACCAACCAGCAGGTCAAATTCTCATGTAGTCAGTCTCTATGTTGCTTTTACTGTAGTTGAACAAATGTATTTCCTGATAGCCAGGAGCTCATTATACTGAGCACAAAGCCGTATAGCAGGCAAATTGGCTATGCATGAAACTCAGAGTGAATTAGACTGAGTAGTCTCTCTCACCCCAGCTGCCTTTCATAGCTATTGTCTTCTTCTTCTTAGGTATGTTTATCTGATAAACTCTGCAATTTCTCACAGAAAGCAGGGAGCAGCTGAATCCCCTGCCCGCCTCACCTTGTTTCAAAACTTGCACAGATACTTTATATGAGTTTGTGTGTCACTGATGCTTTGTCCCTAGTCTGAGATGTTTTGTTTATGGATCTGTGAAACTAACTGAGGCCTGAAGTTACTTCCAATTTCTGTCTCAAGGGCCAGATTTTAAGAGGGCAAATATTAATATGTCAAAGGTTTTACTGGCTTTCTCCTATTTTGCACATGTAATGCTCCTGTAATAGTAGGTACTGAGGCATGGTTTGTGGAAGTACACTTTAGTATGTAAATTGAGCAGCATAGTGTATAGGAGTGATAGGCAACATGGTCTTCTCCAGATGTTTTACATTACCATTTCTGTAATCCTTAACTAGTGGCTATGCTGGGTGGGACTCATGGGAATTTGTATACAAAACAGTTGGGCGTACCAGGTACAAAAACTACAGCCAGGTAACAAGATCTCAGAGTGCATGGGATATCCTAGTGTGCATGAGAGAGAGACTGAGAAGAGAGAGAAAGTAAACAATCAGTTGTTTCATGGAAGACACTTGGTTTGATACTTCCTCAGCTTTGCTGCAGCGTGCAGCAGACTGTGGCCAAGAATCCTCTTTATAGTTATGTATGTCATACAGTCTCAATGGCAAGGTACTGGCTGTGCAGAAACTTTTTAACATTCACTTTGTGAAATCCAACAGGCAAGGAGGAGGCACACATTTGACTTTTAATATTGTTATCTTTCTGACACCAGCAATTTCCTTTTTTCTTCAGGAGTTCAAGACGACGCTGGACACTACCCTTCCTATTGTGTCTTTGATAGGACAAAAGAGTGCTCGCTCAAGATACGGATTCAAGTACATGACTTACCTACCTACCACCACCGATCTGCACCTAAGGCGGTACTGTCCCGCTAGGTGACATGTTGAAGAAGGATGGCACAAGAAGCTTGTCTGACTTCTTTAAATACACCACACAATCCTGCCATTTGTTTTGTAAACATTCTGTGTCTTACCATAGCAATTCTAAGCTGATGTTCATGCCTGCTTAACTGTTTTGGAAGGTTAAAGCACTATAAAAATGGGGTGGGAGGGAAAACCAGGAGGCAAGAAAAAGGCATATATTGACACCCTGTGAATGTACTCTCATGTTTTGCAGTCATGGAAAGTGTCATTGTTCAGGCGCTGGCCATTTGTAGACAAAAATAATTTGACATTTGGCGATAAACCAAGAGTTCTAGACTGTCCCCATCCCTGTCTCCAGGGGACTGTGAAGAAGAAAGGTTCTGCTACAAATTTCTCCACGGAGCTGGGGAGCCTGAAAAACCAGGGTTACTAGTTGTGCTCAGGCTCCACAAGTAGCAACCTGTATCTTTGGGCTGCAGCTCTTAGGAGAAAGAGTGACAGATGGCCAAAACTCTTATGTTCACAGTTTCAGATTAACCCTTTTCTTAGAAACCTGAATAAAACTATAGAAAATGAAAGAGGTAAAGGCCTAATTTTATATTCTTTGCCCATAGATTATCTCCCATCAGTCCCTCTCCTTAACCAGTTTTGTACTACCTGAGCTCATTTCCAGCAAGAGTATTCTGCTAAATACTTGGGGTGATCAACTCTTGAGAAGTCAGTAAAAGCCAGGAGTCAGCTAACACCCTACCCATCCACCTACATGTTTGTTTTGCTGTTAAAATCACAAGCCTTAACTGTGAATGGGGCATTTCCATCTTTAAACATAGAGCTACATCCAGACTTAGCAATAATTATAGTAAACCCATTGAAATGAATAGCCTGGTTACAACTACCGTAAGATCCATCGATGGGGGCGGGGTACTTAAGTATGACTAAATCTGATCAAATACACAGAACACTTGCTGTCATTTTCAGTTTTAAGCAGAGATACTACATGAATATATCAAGCATCAAACCTGCTGATCTGCTCACACTGTTGAATGTCATAATTTTAATCATGGTTACAAAGTGAGAGACTCCACTCTCAAGCCTACACAGAGCACAGTTTGCTGTCCTCTAAAGATGCCGGCCACAGAGACTGGCGAAACGTTAGGAAGAACCACCTTCAGAACACGGCCAAGAAGCCCAAAAAACCCACAACAACCATGAGAGACTAGAATTGAAATTGGTTCGTGTGTTTTTGTTAAGGCCATATTCCCTGCACGGTGTACAAACAACCATTCCATAAATTTTGATACTACTCCCTAGAGATTGGCTTTGGCCCTTCTACTGTAGGAATTAATGACATCCCTCTTTCTTGTGGCAAAAGCAAGAAAACAGCACTTTTAGGGTACAAAAGACCAAATCTTCTCATATTTTTTGAATCTTGATTTTAACATAAAGAACTGGCTGAGGGTTTTGACTGTATAATAAAGATTTCATTCATGCATCTATGTAATGGATTTCAAATTCTGTCAGTAAAGAAGTAGCTCAGTCATTTGGGTTGGAACATAATTCATTCTGAATAGAATTCCAGAAAATATCTATTATTTTAAAAGCATCCATTAAAAAATTACAGTACTTGGTTTCAAAACATTCAATACCTGAGTACAAGTTCACACCATTCTGCTCATATTTTCCACTGTGTCTTGAATTTTTTGGACAAAGAGACCATGCAAACCATGTGGTCACAGATATGGCCAGCACTAGTTCTCATGACAGTGGCAGCATGTGTTCCAGCTGTCACTAGGACAAGCACTGACAACCATGTCTCTTAAGTTGCTGGTTCACATGAGGACTTCATCCAGGGGACTGTATACATGGGGCCAGGCAAAACTGTAAACACTGACAAGAGCTTGGCTATGTGTATTAGCCCAGCTTACTCCAATTTAGAGCACTTCACACCAAGTCAAAATATAACATGGTATTAAAATAGGGGTATTGCCTTTAGAAGAAGCTTGCAGTTGTATCTGTTTTTCTGATACGATAAATAAGTCACAGATCATTTATTGGTAAGTATATTTGTGGTAAAAAGGCATGAAGAATACAGTACAAGGTAAATGCAGGATTACTGGGAATGATCCACATCTAGTGCAAAACAGTCATCATCATGCTTAGCAAACATTTCATGTAAATACATCTGTATGGCAGCAATTCTGGATGGATATCACGGGTTTCTTCCAATCACAAATAAAACATAGTGTTATGGTAAAAGCTGCCTGGACTCCCTGTGAGCTATTCAGTAACACCACACTGAAAATAATGCATCAGTGTGCAGCTGAAACTTAGTTCCTGAATCAAAGATGTGTTCTACAAATCAGGATCCTGCCTGAAGAACACTAAATTCCAGCCCAAGACAGTTGTAGCTATACAGCTTTCCCAGTCTGTCAATTTCCTAGTGGGAATGCATCCAAGCTGCACCTGGATGGTTGATGGAAGGCTAAAGGACTGTCTGTCTCCTCCTGCTGTTGAATGCGCCGAGGGGCCCACTCTGGCTCACTAGGACAGTCACACAGCAGCTCTAGACATCAGGTAGACATTTGAAGGGCACCGACCTTCTTTGCTTTTCTTATAAAGGCTGTTAAAATGGCTGCTTAAGAGAGTTGCAGACTCTCTCTCTCTGCATCTGAACTCTTGTTGGAGGTAAACTGAGTTGTTCCTTTAAGCTGCTTTGCTTGCCTAAGAGCACTGTCGGGCTCAGCAGTTGAGATGAATCAGGGAAGCCAACTTGTGTTGCTGGATCGGAAGATGGGAAACACAGAGAGCAGCTGAATGCTTCTGTGACTTGGCAAGAATGTCTGCACAGCTGCTCAGGACATTTCCTACAATTTGGGAGTCTTGCTTTGAGATGTCACTGAGATATCCGGCCTGTTTGGCAAGCTCTGCAGGGCAGCCTTGGCGGTCAGAGGGCGGACCACATTCAGCAGCGCAAGTCTCTCTGATGTTTTTGTGTGTGAGTGAACAACAGGTTGGTGAGTATCGACTGCTATATGGAGGCTTCTGTTCACACCAGTTCTGAAGAGAAGAAACACCACAGTGATTAATACATGTATCTTTGACAGCCTGACCTGGCTCTCCATATTTGCACAAGAAAGGCCTGAACCTGTTTCCTACCCACCCTCCGCCCATACCAGCATGGAGACTTGGAGATTGCTCAGCAGTACATGAAGCAGGGGCCTTGTGGAATCTGATCCATCATTCAGGGCATAGTGCAAAAGATACACATTAAGAGCTCAAGAATTATGAGCTGAAGAATTTGGGTACCAAAACCAAATAGACTGCTCAGTTGTTCCACATAAAAATGAAATGTAACTCCAATCTTTCTTCATTTCAATAGGATAATTTAGGGGGTTTTATTTTGTTTTTTGTTTTGGAGGGGTGTCATTTCCTGGCATAGTCAAACAACTAGTAGGAGTCAGAAATCCTTGTTAAGTTTGTACCAATCACTCAGAGAACCACCAGCAGATCCAGTTTTACCTTCTGTATACCAATGGTGTACAGTTAACAGTAAGGGCGAATTTATTTTAATTGGGTACAAATTATTTGTTGGAATAGTGAAGAAAATGTAAATTCACTCACATTCATTTGCTATGAAGTTGCACCAGGGAATTCAGATTTCCCCAGATCTTTTTCCCCCATTAACAGGTCACATAGGGAGAAAGGAGGGAAATGTTGTTTGCAGCTTCACTGCAGCCTTGTAGGAGGCACAGCTACAGGGGAGCTACCTAAGCTGTAAAACAAGGTGTCCCTCCTCACAGGAATTTTTTTGGGGTGTGTGTGAGGGGGTTGCTACTGGTACCCCGGGCAGGCCATCTGCTCTCATCCCACAACCTCCCGAGAGTCTATAATAATAACCTTTGAGTTGAAAAGAGCTGGAAGGGACCCTATGGATCATCAAGTCCAGCCCCTGTCAAGGAGGCACAATGGGGAATCAAACTCCCAACCTCTGGCTCTGTAGCCAGAGACCTAAGCAACTGAGCTATCCAGCAGTTCATCTAGGCAGTGCAGCCACTCTTGGCTCTTGAGAAGGCTGGGATGCAGAATGCTCAGGTGTCCAGGGAACAGGGTGATGCGAAGCTCATGGCAGAGATGGAAGAGAACCTATCAGTGGGGTTAAGAGATTAGGGAGGAAGGTTTGGGGTCTTCTGAATAAGTGACACCCAGTGAAGAGTCAACAGAGGAGGAAGAGCCCTGGGACTCAGTGGTGGAAGTACTGGAGCTCATGTTTTGTGTGGCAGCTAATCTGACCTTGGAGCAAGAACATAACCTATGGAATGAATCAACAGGCAACTTCCAGGTCACAAGGGGGCAAGACTGGGTAAGAGGAACATCACTGATGAAAGCCCCAGAGACAGCTTCCATCCCACCAGCTCTGTGGGATCCAAAATGTCAAACCGGTCCTGTGACATCCATCCCAACTCAGCTGAGGCACTAACAGCACAAGCACCAGTTCAAAAGGAGAAGGAGGCACCTCAAGGAGCAGAGCCACCAACATTTGCCACCAGCCACCTCTACACCCTTGTTAATGGGCTCCAAGCCTGGTTCTGGACCACTTCTGTTTAGTAGTGGGACTCCACTGGCTTCAGTGACAGTAACTGAGGCCAGTACAGAAGTCACTAGTCACTGTATCCAGGGGACTAGTACAGGAAACACAGTTCCCTTCTAGTCCAAGAGAGCAGTAACACAGAATTGTGTTGAAAGCACCTAGCAAAATAAAGAAAACCATTACCAGCAAGCTGGAGCCAATGGAGTTATTGACGGGAGACCCCATGACCACAAGTTTCACTGGATGGTGGGCCTTACAAAGGGGTATCTAGGTGACCCTAGTGCAATAGTGCTGGCACCAAGCTGTTTTTTTTCTTTTTAAAAGAAAAAGTGTGTGTGTAGGGGAGGAGGGAGAAATCTGACTGACAGAGAGAGGGCCTTTGATTTTTTTCTCACAGATATAACCAGTACAATCCTGTTTGCCCATGTTTTATTTTATTTTATTTTATTTATTTATTTATTTATTTATTTATTTATTTATTTATTTATTTATTTATTTATTTATTTATTTTGCTTCTTTCACAGGGTGTTCAGCTGTGCTTGCCATTCCTACCAGTGTGTGCTGGTGTGGCAACTTTTCTGCATCAGTTCAACTGATCTCATTGTTTGAACTAATACAAATGGATGTAATTTTTTTTAAAAAAGAGAGAGAAGCCCCAGTGGCAGAAGTAAAAACAACAGATTGGGGAGGGGGAACTCTGGGCTGATTCATGTTTGTGTTATGTGGTCAACTGAAAAAAAAACTGAATCAACCTGCCCCAGTTCCATTTCCTGCATTTTTAGCAATGTGGCTGCACTCTTAGTTGTAGAGTAACTGTTAGTAGCACAATGAATATGTGTTAGTACTGTGCTGTTTGTTGCAGACAAAATGTGTAAACTATAAATAGGGTGTGAAAGGGAGTTATATGCTGTGGAAATGTGCTTGGACATAAGTTATCTGTGAAGCCTCTGGAAGTATATGCTCAAGCCTACTCAAGTCAACAGGCCTAAAGCACATCTGGTTCAGTCCTGGATTATAGCTATGAATCAGCCTTTATCCTATGCACATTAGTTTCTATTTAGTTTAGCAATAATGGCAAAAACACTGCCTACATAACCAAACCTGTCTTTGGTTGGTCCTAAAATGGGTTTCCAATGCTTGGTGTCAATACCACAAGTCCTGTGCCTCTGCCCTAAGAATGATGAGGCATCAGCTTTTCCCTGGAGATGGAGCATAGTAGTCTTCTCCACCACATGTTGTACTGTATCTCTGTTCACAACTGACGGAGATTCTGGCTTCAGTAGAGCTTGCTTCTTTGAACCAGGTACTTTCAGGTGTCTGGCTCTGAAAAGACCAGCTGTCATGCCCTGTCCAGATGCAGGTGATGGACATTTCGGAGGAGAGGGTATGAGAAAGGGCTTTGCAATGATGGGTAACACATTTTCCAGAACATGCAATGAATCTGAAATGTCAAGGAAAGTGTATCAATTTACAAGGACAGCATTTAAGCCAGTTTGAAACCTCTTACCCAACACAAATAAGCCAACAACCTCTATAGTCAAGAATCATTTATAAATTTGGGGTTAGGAATGTTTGCTTTTACCAGGGCGAGATGAATAAATTGACCTCCCACCTGTTCAGGAATGAGGAGTTCTATAACACTGAAGAACTGACAGCACATTTCCATGCATATGCATTCTGAAGTGAACTCCATGACATTCAATGAAACTTGCTCCCTGTTGCATGTGCAACAGAAGCCAACCCCTCTTATTATTCAGATTCAATATAAAATGGAAAAAATGTTCTGTCCTAGATGCTATTTTGTAAAGAAGCTTTAGTCTGGTGCGGCTTCTTGAACATTTTGGGTTTTATTTCTCACAAGCCACCATCTGTCAGACTGAGTTTTCTCCTAAGCAAAAGGTTGAGTTATTTTAAAATATTAAAAACAGTGAATGGATCTGGTAGGAGGTACTTGGAGTGGAGCTGAAAGAAGCAGCAGGTAGAGCTGAAAGGTTTGGACAACAGGGTCTGGGCATGGATTTGCAGTTGTATTGCTGCAAATTTTGTCAAGAGTTTGGAAATATTATTTCAAAAGCCAAGAGATTAGTGTAACTTTTTGAGGAAAGCAATTTGGTGTTTATTGCTTGCAAGTAGTAATATTAATAACAGTTGTGCCTTGCTTTGAGGTGCTTTAAAAAACAAATCAATTTAAAAAACTCTCAGACTGATTAGGAATTCCCTCCGATCACCTCAGTAAAAGTTTGAAATAACGAGAAAAAGGCAGGGCTCATTCACACATAATATTTGCTCTTGTTTAGGAGGTGGTTCAGTCACCCATTGATTCAGATTAGTTTAACATGTGAAACTACTGGAGACTCAAATCAATCTGTTTACTTTCACATCAGGATTATTTGCCTCACTTGGGAATTGTTTTTTTTTGGGGGGGGGAGGGAGAGGGGTTCAGCCTGGGTCCTTCCAGATATTATTCCCATCTGTTTCCTTGTTCTGAAGAAGGATGGTTCCTATGGAGCCGTGGTTCCCAACCTTGGGCAACCCAAGTGTTCTTGGACTGCAACTCCCAGAACTCCTGGCCAGTATAGCTGGTGATAAAGGCTTCTGGGAGTCCAAGAACACCTGGGTTACCCAAGGCTGGGAACCACTGAAGGTACATCAGTTAGAACTCTCCTGGCATTAGTTGTGATGTCAGCTGTGGGGGTGTTCTCTCCAGTACAACTAACTTCTTGCTTTTAGTAACTTCCTATTGGTTTCTTCCCCATCTTCTTGCCCTTATCCCAAAGTCTCTAAAGGGACTCAGAGAGAATTGATATGTCTAGTCTACCTCAGGAGACTCACTGATCAAGAAGAATAGAAGCTTGGAGTGAGTTGTTTGGGATCTATAAGGAAAAGTGACCATGGTTCCAACTGTCAATCTAAGCCACACACACTGTGTGGTTCAGCCCTTGGATGCTACACTCTAAATCTAATCATATCAATAGGTGGTTGTGTTACTGATTCCATAGTAACAGTAGCAAGCTTTTTTTTTGTTTGAAAGGCATTTTACCAGTTACTTCTACTTTCTGTTTGATAGCTTCTTCCACTTTCATTTCTAGAAAAATGTAAGTTCTCCTAATGCAGATCTAGAGTGAACAAACATCTATATAGATTCACTATAATAAAAAGAAGCAGGCCAAATTATCCTGTGTAACAGATCTTTGGTGTACCTCAGAACTCTTTTCCTTTCCCTTATTGCTAAGATTGGAGGTGCCTTGTAAAATGTCAGTTTAGAACGACTGGATACTTATCACATCTCTACAAATAGCATCGAGATTCACATGTTTCTGGATAGAAAATTCCTCCCCACCACCCAGGGCAACTTGCTTTGTTTAACACTGCCGGCTTGTGTGGTGCATTCAACATCTGGATAATCCTCATTAGTAATGTACCTGATGATGACTGGCAAGAGGAATGGGATGATGTGATTTTTACTATGTCCTCCTGAATGGTTTCTTTCAGGTCTTCATCACAGCTGTCATTCAAGGTGTGGTCTTCCTGCTCCTCCTCATTGTGTTTTACTTTTAGTACCTGGAGAGACGTCTCCCTTTGGAGGGCTTGCAAGTGCCTGCCAGAGGTTTTAGCTATTTAGTTAGATGTTCATCCTTCCCCAACCCTGGTAGATTTGACAACAAATTTAAAGATCAAAAAGATACTTTGTTATAATTAAGACATCCATTTTTCTATCTGAACAAGAACAAAACATTCTGCATTAACATCTTCTAACATGAGCTACAATTCTGGTGCTGAAAGTAAGGCTTCCAGGCTACTCAAAATCTTAGGATGCTTTTAGGTGCTGTTCTGGTTTGGGCCACTGCAAGGCTCCCTTGGGAAGAAACCGCACTTCAACAACTGCTGCCAAGAGCTCCTCTGAGAGCTTTGAGACTCTCTCTTGTGAGTTGTTGCTCATTTGGCTCTTTCTCTTGTGGTATTAAAGAAGTGAGAAAAGATACTGTTGTTTCCTTTTGTTTTTGAAAACCAGTCCCATTAAGTGCTCTCATTATACCACTTTAATTTTTAGCAAATTAAATGGTAGTGTGGACTTCCTTAGAAGCAAGTCATCAGTTCCGTTAAGAGATTATATATGAACTGACACATGAGAAGCACTGCTGTAAGTTGGTCAAAATATTTAATGTTATGTCAGTAGGAACAGAGAGAAAGTGGAATGTCTCGATTTATTCATGAGAATCTACAGCAAGGTCCTCAAAGAAAGTGGTTGGACTGTTAAAGCCCAAGTTTCCATAGCTTTCACTACTACAATGTGTATGTTTAAGACCACGAGATGTAGTGTGGACATGCATCCTTTACTCTCAGCAAAATGGAAAGTTAAAGTCATACTAGATTTATTAGATTAGATGTTCATTTTTTAAAATGTTATTACTAATTATCTGTTATTACATTAATATTGGTTGGATTTCCTTTTGATTGTAAATGGCACAGAGTAGTGCCTGGCACTACTTGGGTGGTATAAATGAAAATAAGTAAGTACGTACGTACATATGTACGTAAGTACATAGCTTTATCTTGGGGAGCTCATTTGAGAAATCTAAAGGCTCCTGGTTTAGAGGTTAAATCTGAACTCTTACTGATAATGATGTTCTCTTGAGACTGTCAGCTCATCAAAGATGTCTTCTCCATTTACAGAACTGGTTCCTTCAAAGTCATGGCTATGTTCTGTTGAATGACATGGTGACTGGAACAGATTCATTACTGCAGGCTACAACATTAGTGGAATTGTGTCAGAACATGCCCACCATTCACTGAAAACTCCCAGTTTCTCTCCAAGGTGATGGCTATGTTAGTCTTTTACTGCAAAAAGGGTTAAGAGTCCTATGGCTCCTCTTAGTCTTTAGACTCACAAGTTTTATTTGGGATAAGCTTTTATGGACTGCACTCCACCTCTTCAGATGCATCAAGAGATGCTATATCAGATATGTTTGAAAAATTGGGTATAGTTCAGGAGAATATGCCAAATAAAACACATTAGTCTTCAAGGTGTCACAGGATATCTGCTTTAATTTCTTCTTATTATAATTTCTATACATCATTTCCTTACTTGAAATAATTCTTCATATTCTACTTCTTATGGTATCACTAGGGCATGGAATGCGGGTAGTGAGATATAGATTGGCAGACTACTACGGGATGGAGTAAAAGAGCAAAGCAATGTCTATGGCCAGTCTCATCTGATGCATAATTCATGGCAATGAGGTAGCACAACAGTGTTCTTTCCTTTCATCCTCAGTCCTTACACAAGGCATGGAGAAGAGACAGGGCACATACTGTATCTATGACCTGTCCCAATCACAGTGTCCCTGTTAGCTTACATTTCACATTTGACAAGGCATGGAGAAGAGACAGGGCACATATCTATGACCTGTCCCAATCAGAGTGTCCCTGTTAGCTTTCATTTTACATTTCCAAAGTGCATGAATTCTTCTACAGATGAAGGCTTGCCTGAAGAATGTGATGATCAAGGTGCATGAATTCTTCTACAGATGAAGGCTTTCCTGAAGAATGTGATGATCAAGATGTTGTTGTTGTTTAGTCATTTAGTCGTATCCGACTCTTTGTAACCCCATGGACCAGAGCACGCCAGGCCCTCCTGTCTGCCACTGCCTTCCGAAGTTGAGTCAAATTCATGTTAGTAGCTTCGACGACACTGTCCAACCATCTCATCCTCTGTCGTCCCCTTCTCCTCTTGCCCTCACACTTTCCCAACACCAGGGTCTTTTCCAGGGAGTCTTCTCTTCTCATGAGATGGCCAAAGTATTGGAGCCTCAGCTTCAGGATGTAAGACTAGCTAAATGCTCTATAGAAAAATATTTAAAAATGGTCTATACATTGCAGCGACTACAGGGTGTTAGCATGTGGCAGAGGCTCCTCTGTGTCTGCAGGACATCACAATATGTACAGAGACATATAGCACACATGTTGAAAGAGGGCAAGTGAGCACTGCTTGGGGTAGTGGAAGGCGTATACCCCTTTCTACACTAATGTTCCTTGGCACAAAGCTTTACAGTGGTGCCTGTTTGGAGGTTTTTTCTTCTTCTTAAACCTCAGCAACAGAGCGTCTTCCAACCGGACTTGCTGTGTTGTTTTTATTTTTTTCGGTGATTTTTTCCCCGGCCAGAATGGATTAATCAATTTTCAGTGCATTCCTATGAGAAATGGTGCTTCGACTTATGAACATTTCGACTTACGAACACCATTCCAATACATATTAAGTTCATAAGTCGAGGCACCACTGCATTTTCCCCATAAAATGGATGGCCACTATTATGAGACTGGGAAAATGGGGGATCACTGTTTCTGGCAGACAAAGCTTTGGGGTGATGTGCACAAGAGAAAGTGAGAATTGTCCACTGTTTCTGTGCTGTGTTGTTGGTGGCTTTGCTGTTTATTTTTGGAGTTTTTTTTTCTTCTTAAACCTCAGCAACGGAGGTGGCTTTAGTGTTTGTTTTTGGAGGTTTTTTCTTCTTAAACCTCAGCAACAGAGTGTCTTCCAACTGGGCTTGCTGTGTTGTTGTTTTTTTTTCTATGATTTTTTTTCCGGCCAGAACGGATTAATCAATTTTCGGTGCATTCCTATGAGAAATGGTGCTTCAACTTATGAACATTTCGACTTACGAACACCATTCCAATACAGATTAAGTTCATAAATCAAGACACCACTGTATTTCCCCCCTAAAATGGATGGCCACTATTATGAGACTGGGAAAATGGGGGATCACAGTTTCTGACAGACAAAGCTTTGGGGTGATGTGCACGAGAGAAAGTGAGAATTGTCTACTGGTAATTGGAAGGCAGCAACCATTTGTGGCTTGTCTTTATGAGAATGGAAACTTCAAGGCCTGCCTCCCACGTGGGTTTTTTTTTCAGTTTGTAACTCAAATCTAAGTATGTAAGTCAAGTCAATATTTTCCTATGAGAGCGGTTCTTAAGTCAAAATGTTCTTAACTCGGGCCATTCTTAAAGCAAGACCCCACTGTAATTGGAAGGCAGCAACCATCTGTGACTTGTCTTTATGAGAATGGAAATTTCAAGGTTAGACTGAGTTAATTAGCAGAATGGTTTCAGCTGAATGAAGTTACTCTCTTCTTCACAAAGATTCATGGCAATTTGAAGCCTGATTGGCAGATTTCCTGGAAAGTCTGGAAACTGGAAGTTTGAATATATAATTGGAAATGGAGGTTACTTAGCCTAGCTATCTCCTAGGAGAATTCTATGTTTATCTGGTGTCGTGCTGTGTAATTTACACTCTGCTCAGGAATTATGCTGAAGCTATGCTAGGATGTAAGTACTACCTTAGGTTAGCTAGCTTTCTTATTTTCTTATGGGATTGTTCTGGAATTATACTTGCCTAGCCCTTTTTGATTGCTTATTTGCTCCACAATCTTTTGATTGTTTCTGTGGGTTTTGAAACTGTTTTGAATTATTGGCTCTTTTGGCTAGTAAAATATAACATTTTACAAGTGTTTCGTCATTTTGGAGTAAGAGGTATGGTGGTACTAACAAACAGGTCTTGCCTCAACCATCTACTTGGAGCCTATGTATTCTGTGGCTATTTTTGGCATTCTTATCTTGCACGGTTGGTGTAAGAGTTAAAAGTGCTTAACCTTGAGAATTTGGGGCAATTCCCTGGAAGCACTCTTTAGTCAGAGAGGACTAAGGCGTTGGAAGGGAACTTCGCAAAAGCAAAAATCAGCACATTTGTCCCTCCTGGATTTTGCTACACCAGGAAAGTGAGGGTAGTGTGGATGAGTGGTTAGTGTGGGCCTCTCTGATCTGGTGTAATTTTGAAAATATACAGGACAGCTTTCAAAGAAAGGGTCATGGTGGGATGTAATATTCTTCTTCCTTCTAGTGACCATAACATCTGGTTTGTGATAGGAAGGTTTTATTGTTTTCTTAGCTACCCCGGATAACAGTTATATAATTTGTCTCATGGAAATGAAGGAGATATCGATGAAACTAGCCTGGGTTTTATTTGCAATGGGATGCAAATATGTACAAGTTCCCATTACTAGTTCCCATTATTCTTGCACTAAAACACCCTACTAGAAAACAGAAGGCTCTGCATCACTCCTTGACTCTGGAAGCAGACCTCACTCTGGAACCTCTCCAAAGTCTGCTTCTTATGGAAAGTGTTTCCACAGACCATTAAAACACAGGAAATTCTGTAAGACTCTTATTTCTTCAGAATTCATATCACATTAGAATGGGGAGGGGGAGAAAAAGATAAGTACTTTGGAAGGAAACTTACACCCAGTTTTTGCCTCCGTGCATGAAGAGCTTTGATGGGGTTCCCACATATAACTCTGCTGACACCTGAAGAAAAGAAATGAGTTTGTTCTATTTTGCCTTTTCACACCCTTAAAACATCTTTCCTCTACCAACACATCCAGGCTGTTAACATGTAAAAGGTGGCAGTTTTATTCATTTTCTATATTTCGGGAAAAGAATGAATTTTGGGAAAGAAAACAGTGGACTTCCCACCATTGTGATTTGAGCACCTTCTTTGGTAGAAAGATCATGCATAAATTAGATGAATACATTTCTGATGGCCCAACTACTACCCAAAAACAACATGAAATTGTGAGCTGATGAGCCAGGAAAAAGCTAGTAATGATAAAGTGCCCAAGTGTGCTTCAGTTCATTCAAATGAAGGCAACATAACGCGCAACCTATCCCTCAATATCTAAGCACAGTTAAATTTCTTGTCTAGTGAGATCTAGCAGCAAACAAGTTATAACACAGCAGACAACAGAGTTAAAAAGCTGTACTACTTAATAAGTAAATTTATCAATAAAAGAACACACTAATTGAGGATGCCTAGTATAATCTGTGTAAGTATCCTTATTTAGACAAAGATCTCCTGAAAAACATGGGCATAGAAATACAGTACATATGTCAAGCACTTACAACAAATGAACACATGTTCAAAAAAGTGTATCCGAGAGAGAAAGTTTCATCATCACATGAGTGCACCCATTCCTTCAAAGAGAAGTTTAAGAAAAGTGCTAGGCAAGAGGAATGGAAGCTATTCCATTACCATGGGTCAAGTCACTAGCATCATCTTCAGGCAGCATCTCCTCCCCTATGCTAGTTTCCAGGAGCGTGCTACAACTGGACAGCAAATGGGCACTGGGAGGTCTCTGTGCAGTCTGAGGTCTGGAGGTTAATGACAACTGGGCCGAGGCAGTCCTCATAGCAGCTGAAGGCCATCTTGTTGCAGATCCTAGATCTAAACAACCAGAGTGGGGGTGGGGGGTGAGGAAGATATGATACAATAAACCACTGCAACAACTTAAGATGGTAGAAACTATTATAATGTACCCATACATCCTGCTATTTCAGAAAGAGCCTCCCATTTGGAAGCATGCATCCAAGGAAGTGGATTTGTGTGTTCACAAATAAAAAGGTAAAGGTAAAGGTTCCCCTTGACAATTTTTGTCCAGTCGTGTTCGACTCTGGATGGTAGAAACTATTATAATGTACCCATACATCCTGCTATTTCAGAAAGAGCCTCCCATTTGAAAGCATGCATTCAAGGAAGTGGCCTTGTGTGTTCACAAATACTGGCACTATAATAAATGTGTAGTCTTTAAGATACCACACAACTTTTCTGCTTTGTCTGCTGGCAATTTGGAAGGAAACTGTATTCTGGTCTTTGGAAAAGTCAAAACAAAAGCTTCCTTTGGGCCATGCCATCTCAAAAGCAAAACTGCACTGGGATGTTTGTTCAAGCACCTTTGTTGGTGACCATCATCTCAAACTCTTCCCTCCCTCCCAACTAACACTTTTAGATAACCTTGCCTAATAGGTACCACCATGGAAGTAGTGTTCACAAATACTGGCACTATAATAAATGTGTAGTCTTTAAGATACCACACAACTTTTCTGCTTTGTCTGCTGGCAATTTGGAAGGAAACTGTATTCTGGTCTTTGGAAAAGTCAAAACAAAAGCTTCCTTTGGGCCATGCCATCTCAAAAGCAAAACTGCACTGGGATGTTTGTTCAAGCACCTTTGTTGGTGACCATCATCTCAAACTCTTCCCTCCCTCCCAACTAACACTTTTAGATAATCTTGCCTAATAGGCACCCCCTATCAAAAAAGATTTTATTTCAATTTTAATTTTCTTGTCAAAATTCACTGCATTGAAACTTTTAAATGGTTTTACACTTTTATAGCTCCCGGTTTATGTTACGAGAATGGAATTGGCAGGAAAAGAATCCAGTGTTTTGCCTCAATCCAGTAACATTGGAAAATGTCTAATAAGGTCAAGTTTTACTGAGTCAATTTGCTCCACAAGCCAGTTTTGCAACCTACCTATCAATAAACCTGCTTTTTGCTTTGTTACTGAGTCTATGATACAGTTAGTATGTTATTAGAAGCAAGCCTTCCTAGAGAGTGTAATTAAATATTTAAGAATTATATTACATGGCATTTACAAGATATAATTAAATTAAATATGGACAAATTGAAGAAAGAAATTAATGAAGAGATAAATCAGTACCAAAATTTAAAATTGCCTTGGTTTGGTAGAATAGCGTTATGTAAAATAAAGATTGTATTTTCAATGCTTCCAATAAAGTTTGGAGAAATATATTTGAAAGAATGGCAGAAGTTAATAAATCATTATTGTAATGGAAATAAGTGAACAAAGATCAATAGGAGGCTATGGTATATTCCACAAAAAGAAGGAAGGCTTGGACTACCTAATATTAAATTATATTACATCGCAAATCAACTTAGGCATATACCAGGCATATACACAATAGAAACCTAATATGGAGGGAACTGGAAATGCCAGAACACCCTGATAGAATGGAGGGCTTTTATTTAAAAGAAAAAATTGTAGAAGAAATTTTAAAAATAACTAATCCCTTTCTGATGAATACGGTCGAGTGCTGGAAAATTATATATATATACTGATGTGAGAGTTTGACCTTTGGCACCATGCTCGGCTCAAAGAAATCAGTAGATTTTTGTTGCTTCAAAACAGGAGAAAAATTTATTGGTACATTTAACAATAAACAAGTGTCTGCAACATGATTGTGAGTCTTTTCTCCTTCTGCCAATAGGTCTTGAAGGAGTTTCCAATCTTTGAACAGGAACGGATTCCCACAACTAGTGTTCCATAGTCCTGGTAGATCTGAAGGGACCCAGTCTCTTATGGTCTGCCCTGTCAAACCTTCCAGCAAGGGCCCGGTCTCATCATCCCAATCATCATTCCACAGGGTTTGTCTCTTGGGGTCTCAGTTCTCCCAGGGCCCTCCCTGCAACTCTTCCTCCTCATCTCTCTTATTCTCCATTCCAGCCTTTCTCTCTTTTCTCTCTCAACTCTCTCTTTCTCCTCTCTCACTCTCCTCCTCCACTCTCTCACCTCAGCTTCTCCCCAATAAGAGGGTCTGGGTGGAATCTCTCTTCTCCTTCTATAATCAGCCTCCTCCTTAGGCACTCTTAGCCTCTCAAATAATCCCCTCCAGGGATCTTCCATCCACACCCATTCCCAAGCGGGCGGCAACTGACTCTTTCTCCTTTTTACCTCCCCTGTTCCTGCCTCAAACTCAACCCTCTTTTTCCTCTCCTTTCCCGCCTTTTCCTCCTGAACCTCCCTCATCCTTATTTTCTGTATCTCTTCACTCAGTTCCTCTATTTCCGTCCTTGTTAAGCTTTCTCCGTAGGTTCTGGTGCTGGCATCGTTGTGGAAGAGGGATGGCTGTCCAGCAAGTGAGGTATCCCTCTAGCCTTCTGTCTCACAACTGAGTCCACCTATTTCACCATTGCTACAAGTAGTGGAGGAAACGTAGTTTCCCAAAAACTCTTTAAAATAAACTTAAAGAAGTATGAATAGAGAAGGGGTTAAATACAATAAAGAGTTGGAAATATGATAAAAGATAAAAATACTATAAAGGAAACTGCGGGAAGAAGAGGGAATATCCTGTTTAAACATATTCCAGATGGAAAGTTGGACTCGAGAGTGGACAAGAAAAATGAATAGAGAAGGGGTTAAATACAATAAAGAGTTGGAAATATGATAAAAGATAAAAATACTATAAAGGAAACTTTGGGGGAAGAAGAGAGAATATCCTGTTTAAACATATTCCAGATGGAAAGTTGGACTCGAAAGTGGATAAGAAAAGAAGGGGAGATTAGAAAAATGACAAAATTTGAGGAGATTATCAAACAAAGACAAGATCATGAAGAAGGATGCAAAAGAAAGGGAACGGTTAGTGTAATTTATAAAATTTTAGTATCTTCAGGACTTGAACACGCCTATCCCTATTGAAAATGAATAAAAATTAAATTAAAAATAAGGATTAACAAGCGATAATGAAAAAACAGTAGCAAGAGGATGCTGAGGAAGGAATTAAAGGAGAGGATCGGAACAAGATATGGTCACAAAGAATAATGAAGAATATGTCTATAAGGGTAAAAGAAAATTGTTATAAGGTAACATGGAGATGGTATTTAACTCCAATAAGACTGAAAAGACTGAATATAATTAAAAATATGTGATCTCAATGCTGGAGATGCAAAAAAGAAAAAGGGGCCTATATGCATATGTGGTGGACATGTGAAATAAGAAAGAAAGAGCGGGCACTTTTTTAAAGGAAATTAGAAAATTTATTGGATGTGATATTCAGATATTATCAATTATTGCCCTCCTGAACATAATTAAGAATGATAATTTGAAAAAAGATCAGAAATTTAGTTGTTATGATGGCTACAGTAGCAAGATTAATATTTGCAAAGAATTGGAAAAGCGACAAACAAATTAATCTTGAAGATTGGTATAAAGAAATGTGGACCTTAGCAATTAATGATAAGCTAACGTGAAATGAAAATAAGAAGAGGACTGGTAAAGTCTAATGATTTCAAAGATGTATGAACTTTATACTTAGAGTATGTCTTTTCAAAGAGGAAAGGCAAAAGAATCAATGTATTTTTGGAAAGCTATGGGGTGAAAAGGGGTATCAACTGATATTATTGGTCACCTAGTCCCAAGGGTGAAGGTGGCACGGGTGGGGAAAGTTCAGTGTGTATTGTGTGTAGTCACTATTGAGTTTGTATTTTAGTTTTAATTTTGTTATTTGTAATTGTTCTTTAATTAATTATAAACAAAAGAAACAAGCCTTCCTCTGGATGTTAAATAAATAGTTTGTCTAAGCACGAGGTTTCTTCATGTTTCCCCAGGTTTCCATGTTGTAAATTAGCGTATGCCTGTTTAGCAATTGATCATCAGGAAGTACGCACAGTCCTCATTTGCAAGGTGTGATTGTGCAGGCAAAATAGTTTAGAAGGAATGTGTCTTTAGAGATAACCCTTTTCACCTAATTGGAAAACTCTCATGAAGTTTGGTGTTTCTTAATATTCAATCCCATCTGAGTGTCTAGAGTTTCTGTATTCAGAACAGAAATAATTATCTATGGCTCCCTTCTTCTTACCTCCACAAATCATTTTGCTCATGCCATTCCTGCCCAAAATTATGCCCAGTTCTCTTCTTGCCATCTGATCACGCCCTCAGTTTCTTTTTTCATCCTGATAGGAACAATTCAACCATTCAATGCCACTGCATTGAAAACCCCTTCTCCTTCAACCTCTATTTCATTGCTAATTGGGCACATATTCTGATCTGACTTTTTTTTCTTCTTCAAAAGCTAGTTACATGCCCAAAATCTTTTCTATACATATCTCTGAATTTAGTGGTTTGGTGTTTTTGTCCCACCCTTCTTAATGTTAATGTATTCTGGTTGTACAATTCTTATTCCCCTGATGTGTGACTGATTTTTTTCTCTCTCCATTGTTCTATAACAGAATGATCCATTTCTGAAAATCCATAAATGCTGGTTGCTATCTGTAACCCTTTCAAAGCAAGCCTTATTTTGATCTTTCAAAACACATGTTTTAGTTCTTTTTGTTAAATTGCTCTCAGCAATGTAGTTAAATTATTCTTGGTTGCTCAGTCTTTAATCTCAAAATCCCTTTAACCCCTAAATTGCCAAACTTTGGAAAACTCAAATTTCAGTGTTTTCAAAGATCCTTGCACATGCCATGTTGCACCTCAGAAAAGTAGACATTTGTCAAGTACAAGAATACCTGATAACAGTTTCATTTCACAAAGCAGTACCACAGTGAAGAACAGGACAAAGTTATTTTTCCTCTCCTGAGGTAATGTTAGTATCTATTATCCCTCACTTAACAAAAGAGTTAGAACAGATCTGTTTGAGAGGTTATTTCCATACAACTCCTGTTAGAGACCTTGGGAGTTATGGCTTCCTTCAATGTCAGTATTATTTTATAGTCATCATGTTTCTACAAATACCTGAATATCTTATAGCAATCTGTACTAATAAACACATTACAGAGGGAATACACCATATGCTTTGCTATTGTAAGAATATAAAAGACGCACCAGCTTTTCAGGGGGCTCACCACAGAATTTTATTACTGAAGAGAAAAAAACTACAAATTGAGTTTTACAAAACAAAAAACACAATTTATGACTCAGCTGTAGATGCCAGCTATAGGCATAATTCCAAGATGGCCAAAATTGCTATAAAAGTTGTTCATATTTAGGGACACAAGTCTTTGCTTATCTTGTCCTTACAAACAAGGACAGGAAACGGCAACATTCTTCTCCATGTCAGGGAAGGTGACGAGGAACCTCCCAGTGTATTAGCAAGAATAATGCTCTGCACAAAATTGCCAACTTTTTGTGCAAAATGACATGATGCAATTGTTGCTGTATTTTTCCGTGTATAAGATGATACTTTTATCTAAAATCTTTAGACTAAAAATTGAGGGATGTCTTATACACGGAAGGGGAGAGGGATCAAAGCACTGCAGGGTCACAGTCCTTTGATCCTGCAGCCCTTTGATCGCCACTTTTCCCACCACTTCCTAAGCCCAGTGGGACTGCAGGATCAGAGGGCTGCGATCCTGCAGTCTTTTCAATGCTGCTTTATCCCTCTATTTCCTAAGATCACTGCTTTCCTCTTCCACTCCCACAGCCCTTTGATCCTGCTCTTGCGGGACTTAAGAAGTGGAGGGGGAAAGCAGCGATTAAATTTCCTTACTTGGGGTTGGAAAAGTGGGTGTCATCTTATGCATCAGGTTGTCTTATATACAGAAAAAATATGGTAATTGGTCTTTTTTTAAAACAACAGACCTGCCTCAGGTGTATGTAAAAGCCTGTGTATGTGCTATAAGGAATATACTCTACCGCTGTAAACCTTATCACGAGAAAAATATGCTTCAGAAAATCATCTATCATACCTGAAATGGAAGTCTCTTCCAGTAAACCTCCTTCTTTGATTGATTCTTTGACAATGAACCAGTCCTTGTTCATCTTGTGTGGGAAAGGAAGTGCTGTTTTGTGTGCTGGTATGTCATCCAGACATTTTAAATGAGGGATCAGTTTTTTCACTTCAGCTCTGTAGTTGTAGTCAGGGACCTGGAAATGTCCCAAAGCAGAAAATACTTCAGCATAGCCATTTTAAAGATGTTTTAATGCTAAAAAAGTCTGATAAATAGGTATGAAACACTTAGACATACCAGTGTTAGAAGTAGTAAACTAAAGTAAAACAAAGTGTTTCAGTTGTCTTATTCTTCTACGCAGTTAAGACTCATGCTTGCACAAAATTACAGAACCAAACACAATTTTGGTAAAAATTATTTAACTCAGCCTAAAACTACAATTTAGGCCACCCATCAGGTTCCTTTTTGGGCTCGCATGCCCAAACTAAAACAAAACAAAACAAAACAAAACAAAACACCAAAAAGAGCAGGCGGCATGCCACGTGGCGGAACCGGAAGTGGCGGCGGCGGAACCGGAAGTGGCAGCGGAAGGGAGGTTCCCAGCATGGAGGTGCCTTGAGACCCCACTTCAGATCTGTTGTCAGCATGGGGAGGAGGTGGATGAAAGGAAATGTAAAATATAGGTAGAGTGGTATACGTCTTATCGCTGGCTGATAATGGTCTATATGTACTTGAATTAAATTTATGGTACACAAATTTATGGTACATAAACTAGAGTACACAAAGCTTTAAGTCTCTCCATTTGTTAATGACAGTGGTAATGGTTCTTAATGCCACTGTTGACTGCTGTTCACTTTACATGGTTCAAATGTTATTCTGTTATAGTTTATTAAATATTTTATTAACTATTTGGTTCAGAATATATTTTCCCTGTTTTCCTCCTCTAAAAATTATGTGCATCTTAACGTCAGGTGCGTCTTATGGAGCAAAAAATATGGTAACAACAGTAATAATAATCAAAGTAGATATTTCAGGCTTCAGATCCCTCCACCCTTAATTTGGATTCCTACAACTTCCTCTTACTGACTTCTTTAGGAGACATCTTCTTGCATACTAAACAAATATGCCAACAGTCAAACTCTTTCTTTCTACTAGTCCATTCCAGTGCACACTGGGGGAAGCATGAGTGGAAAACCAATGTGAGCATCTGAATCTCACACCTGGGATTATGAAGACTAGGTTGCTTTCTTTTGTGACTGGTCTTCAGGATTTAGGCACGCAACTCCTCTGAAGTCTGCTCTGAAGTCTGATCTCAGAAACCCAGAAAGCCTACCATGAGAACCTCTCTGCCTTCAACTCTATGTATGAACTGTTTCTAATGTCTGTTTCCGACCTGAGACACAGTCAGGCCACCTTCTTCCCAGTGTGAACAGCAGGAGAGAATTAGCCAGACTTCTCTTCCTCCTCCTTTATGTATGTACCTGACCTAGTGACTCCTGTGCTTGAGCCAGGACACCATAAGCAGCTGGGAAAATATTAAAAAAGTGGGTGGAGTGGAGTGCCTGCAAAGTTTTTACTGTTCATACTAGAATGGTTCGGAGTTCTTTACTTATGACTCAGTCTGTTTGGAAGAACTGAGCATAATGAGGAACCCACTTTGAGATCAGATGCTAGAGCCAGATGGGAAGTCCAGAGGGATATGGAAGGCTAAGATTCCTTTACTGCAAAAAGAAAAGTATTTCACGGTCTTTAAGTTGTCAGAGCTGTGGACAAATGCAGTCATTATCTCTGCATGTAGAACTTAGCGCAAGACTAGACAGTGATGGACTGGCTTAGGCTAAATAGGGTAGCGAGAAAGCATGGCCTGATACTTAGACCGGTTGGATGATTTTGGGACAGGAAACCAAACTGCACCTTAAAGCAGCCCTACCAGCCTCCAGGCCTCCACATCCTTTCCTATCTCCTCTTCCTCAGAGAGCAGGGAAAAGCTGGATTCCCGCCCCCCATTTACTGACAGGTAACATATCACTTCATTGGCTTGCCACCAAAGTGCAACAGCACTCAATTTAAAGAAGGAAAGGAAAGGAAAGGGGGGAATAGACCTTTCCTCCACAAGGAAAGGAAAGGAAAGGAAAGGGGGGGAATAAACCTTTCCTCCAGCTCCTTGTTCTGTTTCCCCCTCAACAGGAAGTATAGGAAAGCTGGATTTTTGTGATTATTTATTGATGTGACATATCACTTCATTGGCTTGCCACCCAAATGAAATGCTAAATTGAAAAGGAAAAGGAAAGAAAAGGAGGGAAAGGGTCATTCATACCCCCTATTTTATTCTGCCACCCCTTTTGGAGGAGGCAGAGAAAGCTGGATCCCCCCCCCCATTTACTGATAAATGACACATCAGTTCATTAGCTTGCCACCCAAGTGACATAATACTCACTGCATTGTGGAGGAAACACCTGTGTTGCTTTGGTTCAATAGTAATCTTATCCATGCTTTAAAAAAAATACAGCAGCCTCTGCTAGTGACCCAAAAAGGTGTGGATAGCAATAGAAAAGGGTCAGGATGGCTTGTAATTACCAGTATGCTGTGTAGTCACTGGAAAATAAACTGAACCTGACTGTGCCAAAAGGAATTCGAAATGCAAGATAAAGGGCCACCTGACTGCATCCTTAGCAACTTTGGCTATATCTCATTTGGGCTACTGTAACATGTTCTATGTGGGGCTGCCTAGAAAGTTTTCAAAAACTTCAACAAGTCCAGGACATCGTTGCTAGATTCCTGACCAGAGCTGGCTACAAGGAGAACAGAAACTATAAGTTATAACAGCTTCCCTGGCTACTGGTATATTTCTAGGAACAATTCAAAGTGCTGATTTTAACCTGTAAAGCCCTAAATAATTTTTGAGTCCAGGCTATTTGAAAGACCTTATCTCTCTCTCCACACCAGCTACCCCAAGTTTTAAGATCTTTAAAACATGAAATCTCTTGATCCATAACTCTCCCACAACCTTTTTAAGTTGCTGCTCCCAATGCAGAAATAATGCTGTAAAAACACTTGTAAAAAGGAAAGCAGATGTTAAAAGAGTAAAAATGTGGACTAAGAATAAGATGGAATTCATGAGCAGAGCATATATTTCAAAAGGTTAAGGAAATTTAAAGCATAGAGTAGTATGTTTAGTATAAAATGTAGAGTGTAAGTCATGTATACAAATGTCGGGTGTTTTTGAAATGCAAGAATTCCTTTTTTAAAGTTGCTGCTCCCAGGCTCTGGAACTCCCTCCCACAAGAGATCAAGTTGGTCCTCTCTCTTCTGTCCTTCTGCTAGCAGGCAAAGGCCTTACTTTTCAGGCAGGCTTTTAACACGCAAGCTGTTACTAAAGAAATGATTTTAAGGGGGAGGGGAGTTGTCTTTTTCCCTTTTTAAATGTGCTTTTAAAGTTGTTTTTAAGTTCTTTAATTGGAACATCTCTGCTTTTTATTATTTGTACATTCGTTTGAATCCCTCAGCAGGGCAAAAGTTTGGGTATTCAATAAATTAATTAATTTCCTGATGCTACGTTGCATACTAACAAATATAGAAGGAGCAGTGAAAATGATATCTAATGGGGCGGGGTGGGGGAGAGAGCACAGCAGACAAAATCACCTGCTCCTGTAGCATGTGGTTTCCAGTCTATCATCCTGGCTAAGAGGAATACCTTCCTATTATACATACACACAGTGCTCCTGCAATAATTGTGACAGACTGCCAGTTGTTGACTGCCACAGAAATGAGCTCATCTAGAAATTAAAATTACTCAGCAAACTCAGCAGATAGCCTACTGTAGACAGCTATGAATTGATTGCCCTGTATGTCATTTTCAGTCTTCAATTCCTCCCAGCCCGTTAAATGGAAACTATGAGTTGAGGCGAGTTGAAGACTAAAAATGCTGTGCAGATTCAAGGTATCATTCCCACTGCAGAGGTCGGACTGCTTTAGAAGAAACGAAGAGGATCACAAGGAAGCCAAGGTAAGAAGACAGTTCAAGAACGGATTTCTTCAAAATTTACTCGTAACTGTTTGTACATGTTCACCAAAAAAATAAAATAAAATAAAGGAATATGCTGAGCCATGTATTCAGTGATAAAAAGAACAAATCTCTCATCTCCATTGTCACTAATGTGAGACTGAATGTTATTTTGTTTCATGCTGTTTAATGAGATGAATGGGTTACATGTGTAATGTTGCTTGCCTAAAGGAATCAATGGTCAATGAGTTTGTTATCTGCATAGCCAATAATCCTACCATGTTTTCTGTAATACCCTGCCCCTGTTATAGAGAACCAGAAGGGGAAGTAAAGGAATCAATTGATTGCTGCTTTGTTTTTCACTTCCTTTGTTCTCTGATCTCTTCCACTCCTCACTGCCCTTTTTAATGGACTGGAGAACCACCATCACACTCAATCCCCCCTCCCATAGTGCTACTTCCCCTTCAAGGTAAGGAGGATAATGCTAAGATGCTTTTGGGGGAAAATCAAGTAAAATGGATCCTAAACTCCACCTTTGGAACAAAGAGCTACAAAAAATAAACTAGGAATTTGAGGAAGGATAAACAGGTCTGAGAAACCAAGAAAAAGAACCAGTGTGAAGCAAAGCAAAATGGGAAATATTCCAGTCATTGTATTTGTGAAGGCCTTCACAGCTGGGATCTAATGGTTGTTGTGGGTTTTTCAGGCTCTTTGGCCATGCTCTGAAGGTTGTTCTTCCTAACGTTTCGCCAGTCTCTGTGACTGGCATCTTCAGAGGACAGGACTAGCACTCTGTGGTGCAGTTCGTTTGGGAGCTGAGTATTTATAGCTGTTGGATCATCTTATGTCATTTTCAGGAGATGCGTGATTATGGTGATCAGTGTGTTTTTGTTGTGGGTGTACTGTTGTGAAAAGGAGGAGAGATTATCTGTCACTGTGATTGATAGGTGTCGTTAGCTGGTCTTTTGTATGTAGTGATCACCGGTCCTTGTGGCTGGGTAGAGTTCGTTGACCTTTTGCACGCTGTATTTTTCAATGCTGAGAGCCAAGTTTTGTTGAGTTTCAAACTTTCATCTTTTTTGTTGAAGTTCTGCTGGTGTCTGTGGATTTCAAAGGCTTCCCTGTGTAGTCTAATGATTGCTGGTGTTATCCAGTATTTCAGTATTTTTAAATAGAATTTCATGTCCAGCTTGTTTCAGGGCATGTTCTGCTACTGCCGATTTTTCTGGTTCTTTTAGTCTGCAGTGTCTTTCATGTTCTTTGATTCTGGTGTGGATGCTTCATTTTGTGGTTCCAATATATACCTGCCCACAACTGCAAGGTATCCAGTATACTTCTGCATTGGTGAGGGGGTCCCTTCTGTCCTTTGCTGACCGTAACATTTGTTGTATTTTTGTATATTATACATCCAGCCCCGAAACAGCAAAACCTCCAATCAATAGTCAATTTTCTGTGTCAAGATTATACGTCTATTTGTTCACTCACAGTCTATCATTGACTATACAAACTATTTCATAACCAGACGTGTAACACAGTACAACCTTGCTTCCGTTCCAAAGGAACACACTTCTACTACACACACAGAATGGCTGTTTACATCTTTTCTGGCAGGATGATCCCCCACATGGCACAGTTAGCTGGCTCTGAAGCATCTGAGAGTTCTAGAAGTGTGTTACAGTGAAGTGCAAGGCAACTACTGGGTTCCAGCTGAGAAAAGCTGGAATGAATGATGCTCTGAAGTGCAAGCAACAACTACCAGGGTGTTTCAAAAAACAGTCTTCTTTCAGTATACATAAATAGGCAGCTGTTTTCTGCTTCCTTCTCAATCATCCTCATGTAAAGTTAAGTACAAAGTTTCACTTATTTCAATGACATTTACTTCCAAACAACCATATGTCAGCAATCAATCTTTGCAGTACGTATTTGAAATGAAGGTTTCATTAGTTTAATGAATGAAAGCAGGAGTAATCTCACACATACAACATGCCACACATTTATTCACATGACTCCAGTAGTAATTGTCCCAGGCAAGCCTTCAAAAGGCAAACATGCTATGCTAATCCAGCAAAGCAATTTCTTTTTATGGTTACATAATGTGTAAGATGTACATTCTGCAACGAAACTGAAACAACAGACATACCTCTGAAGACTGTGGATTTGGCTTCCAGCAAACAAGATTTCCTTCCAGTGTAAGAGTAGTTAGTTTAGGACAGAGACCCAGATATTGAATCTGATTAAGGTCCTCAATATTGTTTCCTTCTAGGTCTAGAATCTCCAGATGGTCCAGGAGGCTTAGTTCGCTCAGGTCAGCAATATTGTTGTAGGCTATGTAGAGTTCCTAGGAGGGAAATCAAAACAACCTTAACAGTTTTATAAAATTTAAGCATAATATTCTAAATGAAGAAACTCAGTTGAAAGCATCCAAGTTTTTCTGTATGGTATGGTGTTTTATTTTTAGACACCAAACTGTTTTGAATTCTCAAGAGCCCAAACTCACAAGCCCATCACATGGCAAACTACAGTAACGGTACAATACATGGCAATATTTTCTGAACCAGACACTGGCATCAATATTTCAAAAGATGTAACATTTAAGTAACTACATATACATTTACAGAATCAACTCAATACACAGATCACTTCAATGGGCTAATAAGAACAACACAAACAAGCCGAATATTACATAAACATGTGAGCTACTGTAAAGGAACATGTCAAATCCTCAATTGTCCTACCTTCAAAGAACAACAGGAAGCAATCCCATCTAAATCTGGAAGCCTACAACGAGCCATCCACAGGACCTGAAGACTAGATAGTGCTGTTCCGAGGTCCCTAAGGAAAACTTAAAGTTGAAACTTAAAGGGTCATTTGCACTCACTGCTCATCACAGCAACCTGTACTCAGGAATCCATATAGATAATTAGTTTCATATAATAATAACTGTGTGCCATCAGGTTAATTCTGACTTATGGTGACTCTTTTCAGGATTTTCTAAGTAGGCAGTACTAGGCAGAAAAAGAGTGGTTTACCATTCTTTTCTTCTGGAGGCATCAGTTTGCCCAAAGCCACAGATGTTGGCTCTGTTTTGATACAAACTGTACCTTGACTTCAGCAGACATGGATTTCACATTCCAGTTTATCCCACTCAGATTCAAAGGTTGATTACATAATGCACTTACATTACCAGAAATAGACTTTGAAAATCATTAACAGCACAGAAGGCAGCTTGAAAGAAAATATGGAAGCACCCTATCTAGGTGGTTGGAACATGCATTGATGTATTTATTTTACTGAGCCTTAGGCAGTAAGTCTGAAGCATTCAACCCCTATTGCAATTTAACCTTTTTAAAGACACAAATTCAGACATTCAGGGCACATTTGCCCATACAGAGACAAAAGTGACACCACTTAGGGTGTGATCTATTCATACCTTCTTCAATTTTCCTCATACCTCTGCATCTCAGATCTATTTTCTGTCTAATTAATTTCCAATTAAATATTTCACAACAAATTCCTAAATTAATTCAATAAAAGGAATGACCTGTGAGGTCAGAAGTACCCACCACTGAAGTGGTTGTCAATAAACCAAATAGTTCTGTAATTCAAGTTTGATTTGGATTAATTCATAGTTTTATTCATTCAGTCATTCAATTTATACCCCACCCATCTAGACCAAAGTCTACTCTGGATGGCTACTTAACATCTAACATTAATAATTTTATATTGCAGTACAGTATTTGAATATAAACCCAACCCATACCCGACCACTTTTAATTTCATGCTTTCTCCAAGCAGTGAGAGATTTTATCAAGCTGCATTCACAGACATATACAAGCAATTAACAAGACTCCTGTATATTTTTGTGCTGTGGTTGCTGCTATTACATGCATTGGCTGTCTTTACTGAATCAATGCCGAATTAATCCATCTTATAGTTGAGCACCCTCTTTTCTTACTGCTTTCCAATTCTCCCAACATTATTGTCTCCCAACACTGTGAGCCTTGACTTCTCACAATGTGCCCAAATGGATAGCCTGAATTTAGTAATTTTTGTCTGTAGGGAGAATTCAAGCTTGATTTATTTGTCTTTCTGGCAGGACACAGTGCTCATGAAACTCTTCTCAGAGGCCACATTTTCAATGAACCTTTTTGTCCCTGTCAGCTTGTTTTCACTGTCCAACTTTCACCTCTGCACACAGCAGTCAGGAATACCACAGTATGTATGATCTAGGTCTCAGCCAGCAGTCACATATCTTAAGTATCTTCTTGAGTTCTTTCACAGCTATCTTTCCAAGTCTGAGCCCTTATCTGATCCCTTGGCTGCAGTCTCCATTTCAACTGATAACTGAGCTAAAGTTCTATAATTCTTCCATAGTCATGATTTTTATTTTCTTAAAGTACAACTGCACTCTTGTTTTTGCATTTTCTTCTTTAACTTTCCTCAGTTATTTTCAATTCACTGCTGCTTTCTGTCTCTAACATGGTGTCATCTGCACAACTTATATAACTAATACTGATAATTCAAGATCCATTTTTATTTAGAACTAGTTCCCAATGTTTGATGGTTCTTATTCCCTGGAAAACATGTTTAAAAATGTGTCCTGAAGCAAACTGTGCTTGAGAGTTAACATAAAATTGTTTGCTAGTAGCATCTCAGAATTTAATGCTCTAACATGTATTACAAAATCCTCTTTGCACCCACTTTCCTTGGTATAGATTAAAGGCATACAATTCTCAAAGCTGGTGACATTTTTTGAAACCAAGGAGAAAGCCATTGTGGTGCAGCACAAAGTGGCATTTTGAAAAGAACACCACCCTTAGAACTGCAGAGTTGGAAGGGGCCCTCTGGATCATCAAGTCTGGCCTTTGACAAGGAGGCCCAGTGGGGAATCGAACTCCCAACCTCTGGCTTTGCAGCCAGAGGCCTAAGCCACTGAGCTATCCAGCACACTAGATGCAATAAATCTTTGTTTATAACTACTGGGTATACTTCTATCAGAGTCATAAATTATGGGAGAAATACTAGGAGGTGTCCCTTTGACTTCACCAATATAAATTAAAATGATTCCAGATGTCCTGTCAATGATTCTAGGTCCTTGCCTCTTAAAAGAAAAATTGGCAGCCCAGACTTAAAAGCACTTCATATCTTCTGGCCTTGCTGTGATTAATGGAGATTGTTTCCAAGAATGGAGGTTCACAGGACCAGGACCATTTTTTCCTTTCCCAAACATTGATTAGCCTGTTTGGTTGTAATCCTACTACTCTCATTCATTTATCCACTTGTTTTCTATGTTGCCTTTCTCCTGGTTCAGGCAGTTCAGAAATGGTTGAAAACACAATATCTAAAAACAATTAGAACACAGAAAGTTGCAATGTTTTCTTTTAAAAATAAATACAATATACGTATAATACTTAAAAAACTTTGCCTTTTGTTCCATGAAGTCTGAACCTACTTATAGTGCTTTCAGGGCTTTCAAGGTACATGAGGCATTTAAGAAGTGGTTTTACCAGTTCCACACCTCCGGTGAGCTTTCATAGCTGAGTGGGGATTTGTACCCATGCCTCGAGTCCTGTTTTTACAGACTCCTGCTTTTACAGACTCCCCACGAGAGACTTATAGATCTGTGTTTTATACACATCTCACAAGGAAATTAATAGTGGTCACAGAACATTTTGTACCTTGCTTTATAATCATTCAATTCTTTCTTTCTGAATACCCTTCAGAACCTTGGCTTAAAAGTTCAAAAATGAATTATTTTCTTCTTTAAATATTTATTTAGCAAGCAGGTAATCATGCAAATAAGAGCCAAAAATGTAAAATACACTTGGAGTATATCAAAACTAAATGACTCTATATTGCAAAATTCACTGTCATCTAATAAAAAACATTCTGGTTTTTATATAGGGATAGCATTTTCAATTAAATAAAGAGTAGGATTTACAAAAAGTATTATCTTCTATTAAAATGACATAGAACTCAAGTTTAGTACTTTGAAGGACACAATATTAAGACTATTTCCTTAGTAAAAAGCTATTTTCTTAGCAAAAAGATATAAAGCACATAAACTCTCATACGTCACTTAAAAATCTCTATTCAAATACATATTATTTGTAAAACCAAGCTGAACATGGCATAACCATAAGCTATATTAAATCAGTCACATCACATTACATAATTCTGACTCACTACAAGGAGAGGTTCTCCCCCTCGTTTGCTCAAACAAGGTTCATTTCAAGTGTTCTTGAGATGTGTTGTAAACCTGGTAGAAATCTTTGTTTATATATCATTTGATGTTATGCATAGTCAAGACAATCTGTCCTGGGACTCTAGCATTCCCGTGGTTCTGAGATTTCAACATGACATAATCTCTCTCTAAGCAATGTCCTGAACTAGGGATCTCCTAGGCCAGGCAGGCCATGTTTTAGCCCCCTCCTTTGGAGTACAATCTGGCTGGATGACATAACCTACTAACATTACATGTGAATGTTTATTACATGCTTTTTATATTTTCCATGTTATAAAATATTCTCCATTCAAATTTCTTATTTTTCCCTGCTATAACTCTTTATTAAACTCCATAGTTGACAGGCAATTCTTTACTACCAGTAACTGACCGTTACATGAGATGCTTTGGAAAGCTATGGATGCACCAGGAGTGCTGAGGAACCCTCTGAACATGGCAAAATTGGCCCCCATAACCCCTAGTGGACACAAGGAGACTTTTTCATAATTTCAGAATATCCCTCCCAAAATTAAGATTTTGTTGATGTTAAGAACAGATTCCCAAAGTCGGGAACTACTCCTTCTATAACCTCACCCTCCCCTTGTGTTCATTGCCAAGTTTTTTTTTAAAAAAAAATTCCCACGGGTTTCCAAAGAGAATAAAAATCTATTTTTCTGATGTTGTCGTTTTGGAAGAGGTAGCCGTGTTTGTGCAAGCCAGCCTATCAGGCAAAATCCAAAGAAACAAAACAAAACATAAGACAAAAATGTGTGGCACTTTAAAGACTAACCATTATATTTTAATGTAAGCTTTTGTGGACACATCCATTTCATCAGACATTAAGAGACAGATGAAATGAAATGTATATGAAATATCATTTTCATATTCTAAATGTTCATTGGTTACATGCAGTAATTAGGCCTATGGTAGTTTTACAGTCCTGTTGTAAAAAGACTTCAGGAAGACAGAAAACTGACAAGAGGTCTGAGCAGAGATGAGAGGTGGGGGGGAGAGACAGAGGGGATTGGGGATTTGAACAAACATCAAAACGCACCCAAACCCCAAAGTACATAATTACATTTTGGAAAATCTGGTACCTTTGTAAACTGACCAAACTTCATAGCATTTTGAAGAAAACACAAGCATTAGGGAGCCCCAATGGGAAATTGATCAAAGGCTAAAAATTAGAGCTCATCATTCTCATCAGCTTCAAAGAGGCTGATTATATAGCCACAAAATCACAATATGACAAAAGGAATTCTCCCATTAATTATAACTTAGCAGAAGAAAACTGATTTTAGTACAATGAGAACTGCAATTTTGGGAGGACTTCCACAATATAGATATCTATAATACCCTTTTCAAAAAAAACCATGCAAAATCAAGGTATTAAAACGTATCCCAATGCTTTGTTTTCAAGATTTTCTTACACAATGGATGTGGCTTGGATTCAAAGAAGTGGCAACAGACAATTTCAGTGGAAGATGATGTCATATTTGCCATTTCAGAATTTTAATTCATTCACATAAAGAGAAAAAAAGACAAACTTCCATATAGCTTAAATACGAAAAAGCATAGGATATTCACCGTACCCTGCAACACCTCCTTC